GCAGCTCGCGAACCCTCTCCTGCCGAGGCGAGCACAGCGAAGAGACACAGCGCATGGCGGGAGGGCAGTGCATTTATTTACGCGGGATCACAGCGCGCGTGCGTAGATCAGGGGCGGAGCTCGGCCTAGCTCAACGCCAGGGTCCGTCGTGAGACTCTGACTCGCACACCGCGAGACCGCTCGCGAAACCACAGCGACGCTCTCCTGCTGCTTCGCCGTCACTAGAGCATCGCTGAACTGCTGCGCGAGAACATTCTTCGTTATAAGCCGACTCGAAATTCGTCAGAGCGTGCGCTCACCTGCTGCTTGGCGGCGGAGCCGAGAATGGAATCCGCAAGCGCGCCGAGCGGGTTGCTGGTCGACGCCGACGGCCGCTCGCCCGGCACGGAGCACCCCCCGCCGCCCGTCACCATGCCGCGGATCGACATGACTCCTGCCTGCCCGGTACCGTCGGCCTCGTATGGTCTAGGGTTCGTACAGTGGCTTCGTACGACCACAGTGGTCCGTACGACCAGGTCGGATCGTACAGTCGGTCCCGTACGGCTGGTGTCGCAGGACGATGATGTCGCACGGCGGGTGATTAGAAGTAGGATGTTAAGGTTGTGCGACGAATCGCACTCGCACTTTAAGAGTCTCAAATTAGGGTTGCGAACAGAATCGGAACCACCGGTTCTCCGCAGTCGCGCACAAGCTGCTCGCAGAAAAGGTAACTTAAACACGCTGAAGGTGGCGAACTGCACTAATCTACAAGTACGAGAGACGACCTTCGTTGAGCGGGATTGCAGGCAAGCAACCGCGTAGAAGATTCACGACATTACGCGTCGAAGTTGGTGGGCGGGTAGTGGGTATGCTTGGCATAATTAGGAGAAAGTCGGATATTTCGAATTTGGTTGCATCCTGTAGGGGTAAATATATATTCTCAATCTCCAAGTAAATATGGTTCACCTTTTCTCTCAATAAATTTTGTGCTGACCTTCCTGAACTATTTTCCCTAATTCCAGGAGTAGCTACTTGTTTAACTTGCCAGTACTGTTTAATTATTTAAGCCATGTTAATTAAACTGCACAGTACTTTCAAGCCATCCTACACATGTTAAGAGCGTGTTCCTATCCTCGTATCAAGAGAGCGTCATACCAACCTCCCACTGAAAATTCCCCTAAACCCAAAATCTCTCACTACTTTTACCAGGCAAAAAGTACAATCTTGATGAGGTTCTCTTGATACGAGGATAGGAATACGCTCTAATGCTCTAGACTTCGTACACTTGCCATTGTACAGTGCCTAAATGTGAGGCTTCCTACCTTTACCAGATATTATCTCTACTTCCGTTCATTAGATTGCACAGAATCATCCAGCCTGCCAGCCACCGTATCCAGCACCAACACTTTCCACCACTAGCATCCTCCCTCCACTGCACCACCACCACTTCCCACCACTCTCCACCACTCTCCACGCCTCCAGAGTGGGGCTGAGAGGAAACCATGAGAACTGAACCCTCACCGACGTGGCAAGAGGGGAGCCACACCACACCCCCGGCCGCAGGGTGTGGTGATCGTCCATTATGCCTTAAACGTGCGGCTATTGGAATCCAGACTCAAGGCCTCCCCCCAACCACCACTCTCCACCACCACCAACACCACCACCACCACCACCACCACCACTCTCCACCACTCTCCACCACCACCACCACCACTCTTCCCTCACCAACAACCACCAGCAGTCACCAATAAGCCTCCTGGGGTGGGGAGGGGAGAGAGTAGACAAGGCGATTAGTAAGTGACAACTGGACAGTGAGTCAAGGAGCAACAAGTGCAGCAGGAGCAAAAGCAGCAAGGAGAGCAGCAGTTGACAAGGCAAGTAAGAAGTGACGAGATGAGAGAAAGAAATCGAGTGGCACAAAGCCGAAGGACGAAGGAGCATGGCAAACAGGGATGAGAAGGTAGAGACACTTAACTGCAGTGCGGTGCAGTGAGGTGCAGATGGGCGGAGCTGAAGCGGGTTGAAGCACGAGGGTGGGTGCAGCAGCTGCAGTCCTCTCAGTGTGCTGCTAGCTGGCCGCTGCTGGCTGGCCGCTGCTCTGGGGGGGGGCGGGGGAGGGGATGGTGGTGGGGGTGGGAAGGGGACGGGAGTGGGAGTGAGTGAGTGGAAACAGTGGAGGCGAATTCAGTGACGCCATCATGCTGCAAGCGAGGCAGGCATTCAAGTTACGCACGACCAAGGCTGCTGTAGCGCACACAACGGGAGGGCTAAAGGGACCTGAACCTCACATTACCACACCAAGGGGATGACTGGGGGGGACCTGAACCTCACCTTACCACACCAAAGGGGATGACTGGGGGGGACCTGAACCTCACCTTACCACACCAAAGGGGGGGGCCTTGGGTGCGCCATAGGCAACTAGATGGACGAGCAACAGTGTATGAAGCAATGAAACAGGGAGCATGCAACGTGACCAGCGGAAAGAAAGGTGAAGGCGGAGCTACTGGTAAAGAGATACTCATCTGTTACTTGGGTGCTGGATGGTGAAGCCCAGGAGGACCCTCTTCTGCTGCTTCCCTGCTGCTGCTGTTCCTTCTGCTGCTCCTCTGCCCCACGTTGCTTGAAACCAGCAGGGCACTGAGAGTAAGGGAAGGGAGGGCGAAAGGGAGGAGGATTTGGAAGATTAGTCAAAGGGCAAGTAAGGAGAGTCAGTCGGATCACAAGCAGTCCATTCCAGATGCGAATAAGGGAGGGGAAGCACAGCTGCTGTCGCACACCCAAGGGAAGTGGGGTACCTTTACCTTACCATACCAGGGGTAAAAGCTTTGTACCTACCAAGCGGGTTACCTGAAGTGTGAACCTTACCCAAAAAAAGAAGAGGGAGGGACTCGGGTGTGCTACAGACAGCAAAGCAAGAGCGACGAGTGAGCAAAACAGGAAGCAAGCAAAACAACAAGCGGCAAAACGGCCGAAGGCGAAAACAGGGTGGGTGGTAAAACAATACTCATCTTTTTCTTAGTTGCTGGAGAGTCCAAGAAGACCCAATGCAGCTGCTGCTCCTTCTGGTGCTGCTGCTCCCTCCGCCCCCCACGTCGCTTGACGCCAGCAGGCCACTAAGAGTCAGGAAGGGAAGGGCGAAAGGGAGGGGGAGTTGGGAGATTAGAACCAACAGCAAGGAAAGGGAACCGGTCTAATCCAAAGCAGTCAACTCTAGATGCAAAGACGGGAGGGGAAGCACAGCTGCTGTCGCACACCCAAGGGGACTGGGGTACCTTTACCTTACCATACCAGGGGTAAAAGCTTTGCACCTACCAAGGGGGTTACCTGAAGTCTGAACCCTAAAAAAACGGGAGGGACTTGGGTGCGCTACAGGCGGCTAGCGTGATGAGGCAGTGAAACAGGAAGCAAGCAAAACGACAAGCGGCAAAACGGTTGAAGGCGAAAGAAGGGTGGGTGTTGAAACAACACTTATCTTATTCTTGGCAGCTGGATGGTGAAGCCCATCAGGACCATCTGCTGCTGCTCCCTCTGCTGGTGCTTCCTCTGATGCCTCTGCTGCTCCCTCCGCGCCCCATGTCGCTTGACGTCAGCAGGACACTGAGAGTCAGGGAGAAAAGGGCGGAAGGGAAGCGGAAGAAGGGGGGGGGGGGGGGGAGGGGGGGGAGGGGGGGGTGATTAGAACCAACAGCAAGTAAAGGGAGTCAATCGAATCTTAAGCAGTGTCTTCCATATGAGAATGCAGGAGGGGAAGAACAGCTGTTGTCGCACACCCAAGGGGAGTCGAATACCTTCACCTTACCATACCAGAGGTAAAAGTTATGTACCTACCAACCAAGGGGGTTACCTGAAGCCTGAACCTTCAAAAAAGGGGGAGGGACTTGGGTGTGCTACAGGCAGCAATGCAAGAGCGACGAGAGAGCAATACAGGCAGCAAGCGAAAAGACAAGCGGCAAAACGGTGAAGGGCGAAGGCAGGGTGAGAGGTGAAACGATACTCATCTCCTTTTTCACTTGACGGTTGCTGGAGAGCCCATGGCGAACCGCTGCTGCCTCCGCTGCTGCCCTCGCCTTGCCTGCTGCCTCCTCGCCCCACGTCCCTTGAGAAGTGTTCGCCAGGCAAAGCGATGGTCCTTGCCATCCGCAGGCACTGTGAGTCAGGGAGGGGAGGGCAGGCGAGGGAGGGGCGGGAGGGCGTTAGCATGACGAGCAAGGCGGAGGAGTGCAGCGGAGTGAGTCACATGCAATCCAGCCCGCGGGAGACGAGTGCGCGCGAGCAGATGCGAACGGAAGCGGGGAGGCATAGCTGCTGTAGCGCACCCAAGGGGAGTGAAGGAGTGAAGGACCTTTACCTTACCGTACCAAGGGAGAAAAAAATCGTACCAGGGGGTTACTTACCTAATCAGCTGAACATTAAAAGGAAAGGGGGAAGGGACTTGGGAGTGCTACAGGCAGCTAGAGAGAGGAGGCAGCGAAGCAGGGAGCATGCGAAGTGACAAGCGGAAAAAACGCTTATAAGCGGAAAGGGGGTGAGTGATGGAATGATACTCATCTCTTTGTTGGTGTGTGCGGGGCAGTGCAGAGCCCAAGACGACCCGCCTCCGCCCCACGTCCCCGCAGCGACTCCCCTTGATGCTCCTCGCGGCCAGCAGGGGGACTGAGGGACAGGGAGGGCGGACGGGCGAGAAGGGGAAAGGGTTGTGATCAAACAAGCAAGGGGAGGGCACTGAAGTCACGAGCAAGGAACAAGCATTGGTGTAGCAAATACGGGAGGGGAGGTAGAGCTTCTGTAGCACACCCAAAAGGGAAACGGGGACCTTTGCCGTACTGTACCAGGAGGAAAAACTTTTATACCAACCGAGGGGGTTACCTGATCGTCTGAACCTTAAAAAAGAGAAGAGGGGAACTTGGGTGTGCTACGGACAGCTAGGGAGACGAGGCAGCGAAACAGTGGGCATGCGAAATGACAAGCGGAAAAGCGGTTAGGGCGAGGGTGGATGGTGGAGTGATACTCATCTCTTTTTTTCACTTGATGGTTGCTGCAGAGCCCAAGACGACCCGCCTCCGCCCCACGTCCCCGCAGCGAGTCCCCTTGATGCTCCTCGTGGCCAGCAGGGGGACTGAGGGACAGGGGGGAGCGAGGGGCGAGGAGGGGGGCGAGGAGGGGGAGGGGTTGTGATGGAACAAGTAAGAGGAGTGCAGAAAAGTCACATGCAAGCAACAGGCCCTCATGTAGCAAATACGGGAGGGGAAGTAGCGCTTCTGTAGCACACCCAAAGGGGAAATGGGGACCTTTACCATACCGTACCAGGAATAAAAAGTTTTATACCAACCGAGGGGGTTACCTGATCGTCAGAACCTTAAACAAAAAGGGGGGGACTTGGGTGTGCTACGGTCAGCTAGAGTGAAGAGGCAGTGAAACAGTGGGCATGCGAAATGACAAGCGGATAAGCGGTTAGAGCCAGGGTGGATGGTGGAGAGATACTCATCTCCTGGTGGGTGTGTGAGGCGCGCAGCAGAGCCCAAGTCGACCCGCTGCTGCCTCCAATGCTGCTTCCGCCTCGCGTCCCCACAGCCACTCTCCTTGATGCGCCTCAACGCGTTTTTTATGCGACGCTCCCCTAAGCGTTTCCATGCGACTCTCGAGGCCACCAGGGGGGCTGAGGAACAGGGAGGAGGGCGGGGATGAGCGAGGAGGGGGAGGGGATGGAATGAACCGATGTCCAAGTAACTGCAGTCAGATCACGTGCAAGCAACAGACGCTCGTCAAGCAAACACGGGAGGGGAGGCACAGCTGCTGTAACACACCCAAGGGGAAGCGGGGATCTTTACCTTACCGTACCAGGGCGGAGACAAGTTTTAAACCTACCGAGGGGGATTACCTTCTAAAAAAAGGGGAAGGACTCCAAGCGTCCGTCAGGCGTTCGAAGTAGCGTTGGGTGGAGTGCGAGCCCCCGCACTGCTCACGAGCGCAATCGCCGGTACGGAGGACGTAGGTACAGGGACCAGTACCCCCACCTCGCTGACGCCCAGCATACCACTCACGAAGTTGCTGGGGGGACGGGGTCTCACGAGTGCGCTGCTGCTGCTGGCGCTGACCACCACCTAAGCCGCCCCGCTGCGCAGAGCCACCCCGACTAGCTCCACCTCCTCCGCCGCCACCTCCGCCACCGCCGCCACCGCCTCCTCCGTCGCTCCCACCGCCACCGCCGCCGCCGCCTCCGCCGCCACCGCCGCCACCGAAGCCCCCATCCCCGCCACCACTCCCACCACCACCCCCACTCCCTCCGCCTCCTCCACCTCCACCTCCACCTCCACCGCCCCCGCCAGCCCCTCCAGCGCCCTTGCCCCCCTTGCCCTTGCCGGTGCGGCGTCGCCCGCTAGGGGCAGACGCAGCGCCGACCGACTCGGTGCCAACGAAGTCGACGGCAGCAGCAGAGGCAACAGAGGGCAAACGGGGGGAGTGGGAGCACCCCTCAAAGACAGGGGCACGCGGGTCACCTCTAGAGGATCCTACAGCGACTATACTCTTCTCAGCTGCCAGGAGGCGCTCCTCGAGGAGGTCAACGGTGAGTGTGGTGGGGCAAACAGAGAGGAAGTGGTCCCTGACCGAGCGAAGGGAGTTAGGGAGCCGGGTGACTATGTAGTAGAGGGTGATATACATGGGGGGGGGGCTCTTGGCGGAGAACTCAGCAGGAAGCGCAGTGCGGTAGCGGGTGTCACTAGTGCGGAGGTGCGTCACGAGGTCAGCGATAGTGGGAAAGGCGGCGAGGTCAGGAAACAGGTACGGCAGTATGAGGCGGCTAAGAGCAGCAGTGGCAGGGGAAGAGTAGCGTGCAACTACAGCATCGTACAAGGTCTTAGCACTCTTGTACTGACTAAAGTGCGCACGCTCAGCGGTCGGTATGTGGCGACGCACAGCAAGACGGGCAGCAGCATCGCGCGTGGCCCACTGTGAGCGAACAGTGCTGTCAGCATCAGCAGGCGGGGCAGGAGAGGCACCAGAGGTGAGATCGAACAGGGAGAGTCTGTCTGCCCTATCGCACTGTAGGAAAAGCTGCAGGTTATCGACCCAGACCTTGAAGTCAACAGCACGACCCTCAGCATCAAAGGTAAGGACACTAGGGGTAGCCATGACAGCAGTGGCCTAGCAGGGAGGGCTCTCACCAGTCCGGGTGGGTAGGGCCGGGGCGCGCCGGGAGGAACAGGGCTGCAACAGCAGTGGCAGCGGCTCGGCAGTGGTAGTGGCGGCTCGACGGCGGCCTCGGCGGCTCGGCGGCTCGGCTGCAGGCGGCTCGGCTGCTCGGCGGCTCGGCGGCTCAGCTGCTGGGCGGCTCGGCGGTTCGGCGGCTCGGCGGCTCGGCGGCTCGGCGGCTCGGCTGCTCGGCTGTTCGGCTGCTTGGCGGCTCGGCGACTCGGCAGTGAAGGGGCCAGGGAGGGGCCGAAAGGGGGGGCGGCGACGGGGCCGCAAGGGGCGGCGACGGGGCCGCAAGGGGCGGCGACGGGGCCGCTAAGGGCGGCGACGAGGCCGCTAGAGGGTGGCGACGGGGCCGGGAAGGGTGGCGACAGGGGCCGCTAGGGGCGGCGACGGGGCCGCGAGGGGGGGGGCGACGGGGCCGTGAAGGGCGGCGACGGGGCCGCGAGGGGCGGCGACAAGGGGCCGCGAAGGGGCCGCGAGGGGCCTGGAAGGGCGGCGACGGGGCCGCTAGGGGCGGCGACGGGGCCGCGAAGGGGTCGTGAGGGGCCTGGAAGGGCGGCGACGGGGCCGCTAGGGGCGGCGACGGGGCCGCGAAGGGGCCTCGAGGGGCCTAGAAGGGCGGCGACGGGGCCGCTAGGGGTGGCGACGGGGCCGCTAAGGGTGGCGCGAGGGGCCGTGAGAGGGGCCTCTAAGAGGGCTCGACAAGAGGGCGGCCCACGGGGCGCGCCTCGGGCAGGGGCGACTCGCGCTTCGGTCAGAAAAAAAAAAAGTCGATTTTCAGTGGTGGGCCCTAGGAAGTTCCCACTAGGGAACCTGCTCTATACCATGTGAAAGAACAAGGAATGAATGAACTAGCAAGCAGGTGGGTACAAGTAGGAAAACCTAAAAGTGTTATACCCCATATTGTCTACCCCACTACAGCCTACACAGACTATAGCATATGAGTTTTACATTTGACACCTCCCACGCCCTTGCTGGCTTGGTAATAGGCCAAGACCAGCACAGCCACGTGAACCAGTGGAAGAAAAACGCTCGGAACGAGCGCCTCCACCCCAAAAACGCTGGGGGGATCAGCACATGTGCAGGAAGCGCAGCGGGCGCTCTTCATTCGCGATCGCCGATGACCGATGATGCTCGAAACCCTCCCACGCCCTTGTTGGCTTGGTAATAGGCCCAGACAAGCGTAGGCGCGTGATCCGGCAGAAAAAAATCGCTCGGAACGAGCGCCTCCACCCCCAAAACGCGGAAGGATCCGCACATTTGTAGGAAGTGGAGCAAGCGCTCTTCATTCGCGAGCGCCGATGACCGATGATGCTCGCAACTCTCCCACACCCTTGCTTGCTTGGTAATAGGCCCAGACAAGCGCAGCCACGTGACCCGGCGGAAAAAAACAAACGCTCAGAACGAGCGCTTCCAGCCCCAAAACGCGGAAGGATCCGCACATGTGCAGGAAGTGCAGCGGGGGCTCTTCATTCGAGAGCGCCGATGACCGATGATGCTTGCAACCCTCCCACGCCTTTGCTGGCTTGGTAGTCGGCTCAGACAAGCGCAGCCGCGTGACCCGGCGGAAGAAAAACGCTCGTAACGAGCGCTTCCCGCCCCAAAACGTGAAAGGATCCGCACATGTGCAGGAAGTGCAGCGTGCACTCTTCATTCTCGAGCGCCGATGATCGATGATGCTCGCAACCCTCCCACGCCCTTGCTGGCTTCGTAATAGGCCCAGACAAGCGCAACCATGTGACCCGGCGGAAGAAAAACGCTCGGAACGAGTGCTTCCAAGTACAAAACGGGGAAGGATCCGCATATGTGCAGGAAGTACGCTCTTCATTCGCGAGGGCCGATGACCGATGATGCTTGCAACTTCAGCACGCCCTTGCTGGCTTGGTAGTCGGCCCAGACAAGCGCAGCCACGTGGAGCAGCGGAAGAAATACGCTCGTAACTAGCGCTTCCACCCCCAAAACGTGGAAGGATCCGCACATGTGCAGGAAGTGCAGCATGCGCTCTTCATTCGCCAGCGCCGATGACCGATAATGCTCGTAACCCTCCCACGCCCTTACTGGCTTGGTATTAGGCCCAGACAAGCGCAGCCGCATGACCCGGCGGAAGATAAACGCTTGGAACTAGTGCCTCCAGCCCCAAAACGCGGAGGGATCCGCACATGTGGAGAAAGCGCAGCGGGCGGTCTTCATTCGCGAGCGCCGATGATCGATGATGCTTTCAACCCTCCCACGCCCTTGCTGGCTTGGTAATAGGCCCAAACAAGCGCAACCGCGTGACCCGGCGGAAGAAAAACGCTCGTAACGAGTGCCTCCAACCCCAAAACGCGGAAGGATCTGCACATGTGCAGGAAGTGCAGCGGGCGCTCTTCATTCGGGAGCGCCGATGACCGATGATGCTCGCAACCCTCCCACGCCCTTGCTGGCTTGGCAATCGGCCCAGACAAGCGCAGCCATGTGACTCGGCGGAAGAAATATGCTCGTAACGAGCGCTTCCACCCCCAAAACGTGGAAGGATCCGCACATGTGCAGGAAGTGCAGCATGCGCTCTTCATTCGCGAGCGCGGATGATCGATGATGCTCGCAACCCTTTGTCAGACTAATATATAATTCTATATATTGTTCTATAACTGCCTGTAGTGTAGAATACTGTAGTCATATAACTTTCTAGTTGGTGGTGCACCTTGCATGCTCTGTTTGCTATATGTACTCTTGTGCTATAGTGAACATCCCTCCCCTCTCAACTTTCTCGACACTTCTCCTTACCCTCGAACTCAATCACTAAGCTGCTAAACCTATGGCTCCTAAGCCTATTCATGCTTAGTATCTTAACATGGAATCAGAGCGACTACGCTCTTGGCCTGTGGGCCCCACGTGCTTCCGCTGCTTTCCTGTCTGTCGCGCGCCCCGTGGCGCGCGACACCTTTTTCTTCCCGCCACGCGCTCGGGGCGCGTGGCGGTTTTCTGCCCGCCGTGCGCCCTGGGCGAGCGGCGTCTTCCTGCCCTGTCGCCGCCCTTCTCGGCCCCTCACGGCCTCTTCGCGGCCCCGTCGCTGCTCCTCTCACGGCCCCTCGCGCCACCCTTAGCGGCCCCGTCGCCACACTTCGCGGCCCTGTCGCCGCCCCTATCGGCCCTGTCGCCAGTCCTAGCGGCCCCGTCGCCGCCCTTCTCGGCCCCTCGCGGCCCCTTCGCGGCCCTGTCGCCGCCCCTTCTCGGCTCCGTTGCCGCTCCTAGTGGCCCCGTCACCTGCTCGACGCCCCCCCCCCCCCCCCCCCCCCCCCCCCCTTGGCCGCCGCCTCTGCCTCCCCTGTGCCCGCGCCTGCTTTGCAACAGCGCGCGGGCCTGCCTTGCAACTGCAGCCGCCCCTGGAGCAGCCGCCACTGCAGCAGCCGCCCCTGGAGCAGCCGCCCCTGCAGCAGCCGCCCCTGGCCTCTGGAGCAGCTGCCACTACAGCAGCCGCCCCTGCAGCAGCCGCCCCTGCAGCAGCCGCCCCTGGCCTCTGGAGCAGCCGCCCCCGGCCCCTGGAGCAGCCGCACCTGCAGCCGCCCCTGGCCCCTGGAGCAGCCGCCCCTGCAGCAGCCGCCCCTGGCCACTGGAGCAGCCGCCACTGCAGGAACCGCCCCTGGCCCCTGGATCAGCCGCCCCTGGAGCAGCCGCCCCTGGAGCAGCCGCCACTGCAGCAGCCGCTCCTGGACCCGGTGCAGCCGTGGGGGGGTGGGTATGGGGGTGGTGGGTGTGGGGGTGATGGGTATGGGGGTGGCGGGTGTGGGGGTGATGAGTGTGGGACAGGTGGGGGAGGTTGAGTGGAGGTGGCCGCCGTGAAGCCAGCAGCTCCAGTCGCCCGTGAGACCGTTGCGCTAGTTGCCCGTGAGCCCGTAGCTCCAGTCGCCAGTGAGCCCGTTGCTCCAGTAGCCCGTGGGTCAGTTGCTCCTGCCGCTCGTCTAGCCGCGGAGCCAATTACTCCAGTTGCCCGTATGCCAGTTGCTCCAGTTGCCAGTGTGCCTGTTGCTCCAGTTGCCCGTGTGCCAGTTGCTCCAGTTGCGCCGTGTGTCTGTCGCTTCCGCCGTCGCCTCCCATCTCCTCTCCTGTCACAGTCCCTCCTCCTCCTCACTTCCCCTCTCCTTCTCCCTGCGCTTGGTGTACCCCTTCAGGGGGCGTTGACTGCACATTCTTCCCTACAGGCACTTATGGGGGCGTGTCAGACTAATATATAATTCTATATATTGTTCTATAACTTCCTGTAGTGTAGAATACTGTAGTCATATAACTTTCGAGTTGGTGGTGCACCTTGCATGCTCTGTTTGCTATATGTACTCTTGTGCTATAGTGAACATCCCTCCCCTCTCAACTTTCTCGACACTTCTCCTTACCCTCGAACTCGATCACTAAGCTACTAAACCTATGGCTCCTAAGCCTACTCATGCTTAGTATCTTAACACCCTCCCACGGCCCTTGCTAGCTTGGTAATAAGCCCAGACAAGCGCAGCCACGGGACGCGGTGGAATCAAAACGCTCGGAACGAGCGCTTCCAACCCCAAAACGCGGAAGGATCTGCACATGTGTAGGAAGTGCAGCAGATGCTCTTCATTCGTGAGATGCTCGCAACCCTCCCACGCCCTTGCTGGCTTGGTAATAGGCCCAAACAAGCGCAGCCACGGGACGCGGCGGAAGAAAAATGCTCGTAACGAGCGTTTCCAGCCCCAAAACACGGAAGGATCCGCACATGTGCAGGAAGTGCAACGGGCGCTCTTCATTCGCGAGCGCCGATGACCGATGATGCCAGCAACCCCCCCATGTCCTTGCTGGCTTGGTAATCGGCGCAGACAAGCGCAGGCACGTGACTCGGTGGAAGAAATACGCTCTTAACGAGTGCTTCCAGCCCCAAAACGCGGAAGGATCCGCACATGTGCAGGAAGTGCTGCATGCGCTCTTTATTCGCGAGCGCCGATGATCAATGATGCTCGCAATCCTCATGCGCCCGCGCAACCCTCCCACTTCAATATGTAGCGCATACTTCAGAATTCAGTTGCCTAGGCCTGTACATAAATCTCTTTTGTGATTATTTAGATATATCATATTTTCAAAGTAGGTTTATTGCTCCCTTGTTTTCAAAAGTTTTCTAGTTCAAATATGGCTTATTATGCACACGAGAAAAGCATAGCATGTACACATAGGTAGTGGCCACAGTTGCTCTGGGAACTCCTGCACCGTTTGGGCTGCCAGCAACACATATCCTAGGTTTCAAGTAACCTGATCCAACATCCCAACCCATTACCAAACCCCGATGCCTAGCCCGAAACCCTGTGCTACCTAACCCGATCACCACACAACCAAGGCTACGTCATCTGTACATCCTCCACTCCCCTGTTTGATTCAACCAGCCAAGGTTGGGGGAGTGGAGGGGTCAGGGCAGAAGTCAAACGGCATCCACGCATCTCCCTCTTCTCCTGCCGCCGCCACCACCGCTGCTACTGCATCTGCTGCATTCCACCATGCAGTCTGCATCATTGCATCGTCTCCTCCCTGCCACGCTGCCTCAGCTGCCCTCTCAGCGTCACCCCCTCCCTGCCCCTCCTCTCCCGCCCTCCTTACCATCGTGCACATGTCTTCATCTAGATGCTGCTCCACCGCCCCTGCTCTGCCCTCCGAAGCCACACCTCCACCTGCCACACCTCCACCTGCCACACCTCCACCTGCCACACCTCCACCTGCCACACCTCCACCTGCCACACCTCCACCTTCTACTTCAGGCGTGTGTGCCTTCTCATCCTTCTCATCCTTCACATCATCCTGCTCATCCATACTTTTCTCCATCTTATTCAACGAATAATCCTTCGGACCGGCTGCTGCAGCACCGACTGCTGCACTCTGCATGCCTGCACGATCTGTCACACCACCCGGTGCTGTTGGTGCTGTCGCCATGCCTGCAGCCACGCCGGCAGAACCACCAGCGCCCGTCCGTTTCCCCACCTTGCCTCTTGCAGCGCTGTGAGAGTGCACGGTGGGTGGCACTATTGGGAGACTTTCCTTCCACCAGGAGGGGAGGGAGCCGGGGACAACGTGAGAGGCAGGGCTGGTGGCATCGGGATCGGCAGCACCATCGGTAGTACCGCAACCAGCCGCAGCAGTAGCAGCAGCAGCAAGGGAAGAGGGGTAGGGGGGGAGCATTCCTTGCAGCATCATTGGGTTCTGCATCCCCATACCTTGGGGCAGCACCATTGCCTGACTCGGTAGCATGCTTTGTCGCAGCATCACCATGCCATGCTGTGCCATCATGCCCTGTTGCCCCATCATGCCCTGCTGTGCCATCATGCCATGCTGCCCCACCGAGCCATGACTCCGCAGCATGGCTTGGTTCATCAGCATTACTTGCTGTGGCAGCATGTCCCCGCCCACCATACTCTGGTTCGGCAGCATTGTTTGGTCCGGTGGCATGGTGTCGTTCGGGGCCAAGGCTGCCTGGGGAACCATGATTTGCTGGTAGACAGGGATGGGGGCGGGTGAAGAGGAGGAGAAGAAAAGAGCACGAGGGACCGCCCTTGCTGCTGCTGCAGCAGCGGCTGGGGATTGACCGCTGTGGAAGGAAGCTGGGAAGCAGTTGCTACTCCTGGGACCACTGGGGCCGTGGCTGCTGCTGCTGCTGCTGCTGCTGCTGCTGCTGCTGCTGTTGTTGGTGTTGGTGTTGGTGTTGGTGTTGGGGGTAGCCGTGGCGAAAAGCATTGCCTGCTGCTGCTGTGCTTGTAATCGCTGCAACTGGCGCTGCTGCTGCAAGTGGTGCTGCTGTAAGTGCTGCAGTTGCAGCAGCTGCTGCTGTAACTGGTATTCTTGTAACTGCTGGTGGTGCCAGTGCTGCTGCTGCTGCTGCTGCTGCTGTTGCATCTCCAGGTGAGAGAGTGGCGAGTGGAGGGAAAGAGAGGAGGGGAGGAGGGAGTGAGGTTGGTGAGGGGAGGTGGATAATGAAGCCTGGCTGGGGAAGCGGTGGAGTGAGGGCGAGTGGGAGTGGGAGAGGGAGAGCGAGTGCGAGAGAGAGCGAGAGTGGGAGAGCGAGTGTGAGTGAGAGAGCGAGTGTGAGTGAGAGAGCGAGTGTGAGTGAGAGAGCGAGTGTGAGTGAAAGAGCGAGTGTGAGTGGGAGAGCGAGTGCGAGAGGGACAGTGAGCGCGAGTGAGGGAGAGAGTGAGGGAGGGAGGAAGACTCGAGAGTGGGCGAGGATGCGATTCGGGTAAAGTGCAAGTCTCCTTCAACCTGTGTAGCAGACATGGCAACAGCTGACGGCATGGTCGCAGCTGTAGCAGCAGAATTAGAAGTAGCAGCAGCAGATGCAGCATTTGTGATGGTCGTAGCAGCAGCAGAGGCAGCAGCAGATGCGGCGTTTGCAACAGTCATAGCAGCAGCAGCTGCTGCTGCATTCCCACCAGCCCCCGCTGCTGCTTGGAGTGCGTGACTCATTTTCCGGGCAGCTGAAAGTTCTTCCATGGAAGGTGGCGATTGGCTGAGGGCGTCAAACAGCCGAGTGGTCAGCTCGTTTTGGACAGAAGAGGGAACAGGAAGGGCAGCAGCAGAGGACCCAGATGGGAGCTGAGAGGATAGGTTGGTCTTGGCAGTTACCACAGGGGTGTGAAGCGGTTGAGAGTGGTGTGACTGCTGAATGCGATGTGACTTCTGTGGGTCATTGCCGCTGTTGATCTGGAGCCTGTCCAGGTTCGTTGCTGCTTTCATTGCTTGCTCCTCCTCCTGCCGCTGCTGCTCTTGTTGTTGCTGCTCTTGCTGCGGGTGTTCGCCTGATGTCGCATCTTTCCCCTCCAGTGCTGCGCGGCTCTCAGGCGCCCCACCAGGTGAAATCTCAGGTGAGTTTGGACCAGAGCTTGCAGAGGTGGTGGCGGCAGAAGTAGCCGCAGCACCAGAAGCAGCAGCGGCAATGGCAGCGGCAGCAGCGGGCGGGGGCATGGGGAGGCGGAAGAAATCGGCCATTCGGCGGATGAAGGCCGGGTCGTGTGAGTGCGGCGAGCCGGAGAAGGACGGGGAGTGTGGTGTCATTTTCCTCCTGTTCAAAAGGGGGGAGGGGAACGACGAAGAGAGGGAGATGTTAAGCCACGAGAAGACTGATCAGACTTACCTGGCAGCACGTGCACCTGGCGTCTGATCAGGCGTACCTGGCAGCACGTGCACCTGGCGTCTGATCAGGCGTACCTGGCAGTACGTGCACCTGGCGTACCTGGCGTCTGATCAGGCGTACCTGGCAGCGATTTTGAAGGACGTGGACGCATGCGGGCGCAGCCCCTCTCGTATGGCTCGCTCCACCGCCCATGCGTGCGCGCCCACTCCCCCCCCATGCGCCCCTCCTCTCCCCATGCTCCCAGCGCCTGCGTGACTGCCGGTCATCCCCATGCCACGTGCTGCTGCGTGTGTCCCTTCCGTGCCCTGCTGCGTGCTCTGCAAGCCTGCCATACCCATCCCTGCCGCACCCAACCCTGCAATACCCATCCCTTCATCCATCATCGCTCCACCCACCATCGCTTCACCATGCATCATACCACCACCAGCATGATAAGCTTCCCACATAGCATCCACCATCGCCCCCTCCATCCCCTCCCCATCCATCATCCCCCCATGCGCCAACCCCCTATGCGCCAACCTCCCATGCGCCAACCCCCCATGCGCCATGCCCCCATGCGCCATGCCCCCATGCCCCACCCCCCCCTCCCTCTCCTCCCACTTCCCCCCTGCCGTAAGCGCCAGCCCGCGCAACTCCTCCTCTTCAACCGCTTCCGGCGCTTTACTAAAGGCCGCGCTTAGCCCAGCCTGCACTGAAGACCCACCAGCAACGGCAGCAGGCTCGGCGGTAGGTCCGGGATCCGAACCTACAGGGACAGGCAATCCCCGAGGCTGCCCAGGAATCGCTCCAGCTGCAGCAGCAACGGTAGAAGCAGCAGCAGGAGGAGGAGCCGCAGCAGCTGCAGGGCCGGCGTGTGAGCTGGTAACCAGGTAACCGCGAGGGTGATGCGGATGAGCGAAGGACTGATGGCTGGTAATGGCGGCAGGGGAGGATAAGGTGGTGGTGGCGGTTGCGGAGGTGCCTTGGGGGGACGTGGGGGAGAGAATGGACAGCTCAGATTGGCTGTGCGCAGATCGGAGGGCTGGGGTGAGTCCTTGAGATAGCGGTTCAGTAAGGCCGTGATAGACTGGCGCGCCCTCCTGGTCTAGGTAGCGCCTGCAGGGGGGAATGGGGGAAGGGGGGGAATGAGGTTGAGAAGGGGGAGGAGTGAGTGAGAGGCTATGAGAGAGCCAGTGGAGCGGCGAGGGAGGAGAGTGGGGGGGTGAGTGGGGAAGGGGATAATGGGGGAAGGGGGGAGGGGGTAAGGGGGAGCGAGCGGGTGAGAGAGAGGTCGAAGGGTGAAAAGGATCACTTTTTAAGGAGGGATAAGTGGATCAGTTATTATGAAGGGGAGTGGATTACTTTTTAAGGAGGATGAAGCGGTTGCAGCAGGCCTTGTTGTCGCGGTGAGGCAGCCTCCCCGACGCCTTGAGCACGCCCCAGTGCCGCGTGCCGTAGCTGCGCACGTGATCCAATAAAATCAAATCCTCCTGCGCAGGGGAAGGCGCGGAGGGAAGGGTGGGCAAGAGAAGGGGGGAGACGGGGGAGAGGGACAGGGTGAACGGGAAAGCAGTCAGCAGGAGGCGCTTAAGGAAGTATGGCTCGAAAAGTGTGGTTAAATTCAAAAGGGCGCGGAAATGAGGCGATGTTACCGTGCGCGGGAATGGGGCGCCGCGCGCGAGGAAATGGGGCGGCACTATCACGCGCGCGGGAATGCGGCGGCAGTAAGTTACCTCGGGCGACCACCAGCGTGAGTAGCTCCCCGTTGCCCCGGGCTCTGCGCCGCCGATCGCGCTGTCCCCCGTCGGCTCGCGCGCCCCTTGAGGCGACTCCGCTTCCGCCGATCGCGGCAATGGTGACGGCTTGAAGGCTGCACCCCCCGCCGTCGCCGCCGCAAGCGCCGCTGCTGCGTCGGCGCGGTCGTCGCGCGGTGCTCGACCGCCAAAAGCCGTCGCTGTCGCCGCATTTCCCGCCGACATTATCGCAGCAACGTCGCTAGTACCGAAGCGGGTCGCAGCGATCATCGCATCGCCTCGCCACTCGACTATCCGTCAGACGTATTTGCTCGATGGAACCGCCGCCGTCGCTGTCGCCGTCACCGCCGAGTCGCCGTTGCGGTCGCGACGCCGTCGCTTTCGCTGAAACCGTCGCCGTCGCTACGGCAGAGAACGATTTGATTTCCCCGAGCGACGCTTCGAGAATGTCAATTTGAACGACAAATCCAATGTCGCTTCGCAAGCGACATTGGAATGCGCCTCAGGCCTGCCTCTCAGAGACCTCCTTTGATCGAACCAACGGTATCCGCAGTCGACGGTCGACTCGATCAAATCAACGGTCGGACTCTATTGTCAGTTGAGCTGGCGTCGCGAGGGCTCTGTCGGGATGTGAGGCCGCGGGACGACTCTGATGAATCGTATGGATCGTGCAAGAAGGCTTACAGTCGGACTGTCGCGCGTGGTGCTACTGTGTTCGCGGCACGCGGCTTCAGGAGAGGATCCGAAGGAGATGCGCGACGCAAGACGGATGGAAGCGCAATGTCGTTTAAAATGTTGGCGGCGGACAGTAAGAATCTTAGAGCGTGCGCTGCGGTGCCGCAGAGCCCTCGATTTAGCGGATTGCGGCGCGGCTCAGATTTGCGACACGGGGCAGGCGTGCTCATGTACGATGATCGGCGTCGTTATTTCATTCGCCCAGTAAGGGAGTACGCGATGATTCGAACCGACAGGACACTCGGGACGCCGGATGCTCAACAGCTACGACGGGGAGTGCGGGTAACGGTAAACCTGCGGAAATAAAGAGGTGCTGGTTCTTACACGAATTCGAATCGCAGTAGCGACTGACTCGTCTTTCGTTATGTTGGGGGCCCAGGCGTATGACGAAGAGGCGCCAGGTACTAGACGGATGTCGGGAAATGTGAATCGGTGTTGGAAGATCGTCGGCGCTAAAGCTGACATTTGGAGACTACAGAGTTTTCGAGTGGTGGCCTTTGACAACGCGGCGTTTCAATTCACTGTAATAAAAGAATCAGAAGTGGTGGAGAATGTATGTGCACAGCTGGGACGATCTCGTGTGGAAATGCTGAGCAAAGCAAAACAGAGCAGGACAGTAGGGAAGGCAGGAATGGAGCAGTGCAGCGCTAGAGGCAGATTGCTGGCCCGGAAATGGCAGGTTGTGTGGGACTGTGTGGCGTCGAATCGTGGATTTGCAAATGTTGGGGGGGGGGGGGGGGGGAATGGAAGAGCTTCGAGAGAGATGTTCGGAAGGAGGGAGGAGGGAGAGAATTGGAGGACGGGCCGTGCCGCGTGTGGGATGAATGGGAAGATGTGGGAGATGGGGGAGGAATTGCGCGGGACCGGGAAAATCTGTGGCTGAGCTGGACGGGAGCTCCTTGTTTTGGGCCAGCGCATTTTGAGAAAGTGCAAAGCAGTCAAGAGGGCGCTCAAATTCCGAAATGCGACAATTTTCACAGCTGTGATGCACGCACACGTTTGTTGGAGGGGGTTGGATGGATTACAGCGGCGAAGGATGGGCAAAGAGAATTTCAGAAACTGGCCTGAGGATTTATTTGGAGGGAACATTGGTATTTGTTATGTGCTAATGATTCCGGGCAGTACATAATAAAATGTAGTCTAGGGAGAATAACACACCACCCGGAGTCGTTTGATGAGTCTTGGGGGGAGGAAGACAGACCAGCGGGATTCGATAGCGACGAATGCGGCGACGTTATCTTCCACACATACAAGCCAAGTTGAAGAACCGTCGGATCGGCAAGCCAAGTTCTAGAAAATCTCGCGCGATCAGCTTCATGAAAACAGCTGCAGTTGTGCGAGGACAAAAGATAGGTGATGATCTTGATGACTTGGATGGACAAGGCCTGGCCTTGCTGGCACTTCTGAGATTCTGGTCTGGGCAAAGTGTCGTCCACACCACACGAGAACTGCACTGTTTGTACAGTGCTCCTTAGACACGTTATGCAACAAGAAAGAGCAGCTCAGCAGGGCAGGCATATTACGAAGGCTGCCGATTGGCGGGAGGGTACACCTTTATTCTCGTTAGACTGGCATATGTTATACTGACCGTGACGCTTAGTGTAGCCGCAGTGGACCAAAGAAGGTCCTATCACATGCGTTATACTGACAGTTTGACCCAGGGCGTTTAGTCAAGGTTCTATACGTTCTAAAATGGTAATTCTGTTTTCTAAACGATTAAGACAGTTATTCAGCGTTAACGGAATTTTACGGCCCAAGTCTGGTTTCGTCGCCTCGTGCGACTTGGCCCGCAACAGAGTTAATGCCCTTAATGCCCTGAACATTAAGGGATGAATAGTCCAAAAAAACTAGCCCTTAATGTTCAGGGCATTAAGGGCATATGCCCTTGAATCGACAGGCCTGATTCTGTCCGACCAGAGGTGGAAGAAGAATATTCGTTTCTTCTCGCCTCGCATCGCAGGGTCAGCGTTAAAAAATTCGACTGTAATATGGTATACAGGTTAGCACTGTACTTCCCAATCATTCAGGTTAGAGAATTCCTCGAGCTGAATGCAGGAGGGATAGTGTACAGTTCTCAATTCTGCCCAATTATGCTTCATAGAATATTGTTTTCGAACATGGAGAATCAATACACAGGATCTCCTTTGCTACTCACATAGACGCGTCCATTTTCTTGAGCAATCCCGCAATGCCAAATGGCAGTCATCGATTTGTTCATTTTGAATTGCGAGTGTGGCTTTTGCTTCCAATCGCGAACAGCCTGCCAAGAGCTTGGCGGGGAAGGCTTGTTCCTGTATTCGTTTTAAACTGCCCTGGGTGCACCACACCATCTCGTCACCCTTTTGGACCGTCTGAATTAAACAGCTCAACCACATGAAAAGAACTAAAATCATATCGAGGCTGGCACCACAAGGAAGGTAGCTGTATAAACTCCAATACCTTCTCCGGACCATCGACGGAGCCTCGGAGCGTCCGAGCCGTAGAATTTAGCGTGCTGGTGACGCATCCCCTCAGCTCTGCTTCTCCTAGAGCTTCGCCTCTATCCTCTTTCAGGTCAGTCAACACAGGCATTACACTTGTCATGTATGGGGGAATCAGCTGCGTTTCTTGATTGTTAGTCGTCCTCGCCGCTGCGAATAAAGCTGACGTGAGAGAACTGTAGCATTACTTGCCGTAAAGCGAGACGTTGGTGACGGTGGGACGAAATCGGGCATTGCTTGCTGGCAGCAGCAGCATGAGCGATAGTACACGCGAAAGGTACCCATGGCTGTGGGCGGGAGCCTCAAGCGCGAGGCCGACAGCATTTCGCGACGGGATCAAGAAACTCCACGACTTCAGTGACGTCCTTTTTTAGCGAGTCAAGGAGCTTTCTTGTGCTATTAGCGAGGAAAAGAGTAGCACTGCGTGAGTGCAAAAAGGCAGGACATTTTTTCGACCGTCACGGGCAGCATGGAAAATGTCGAGTATTTTCACGAGAAGCTTCTCCTGCCCGACGAGGAGTTCGCGCTCCTAGAAGCGGCAGTGGCGGCCGCGGAGCGGGAAGCGGCTGCGCGGAGAGCTGCGCGGGCGGGTAGCTCCGCGGAGATAGTGGTGGAACATCCGCGGGTGGACAGGTCGGCGGAGGCCGGGAGGGAATCCGCGCACACGCGGAACGATGCGTGTGGGCGCGGGGACAGGATCGAGTCTGCGGGAAGCAGCGCGGAGGCGTCGTCGCGGCAGCTGGTGTTTTCAGAGTCAACTCATAAGTCGCTTTACGCATGGATGCGACCAGAGACGCTTTTTGAGGCGCCTCGACATCCCGACGCGCCTTTTCAGGCTCCTCAAATGGCGGAGCCTGTGACAAGGAGGTCCCTTTTTCCGGACATTGAGGACGTGTCGAGTCTCGATGCGCTGCCAGCGGAATGGACACGTGGCGTTGCTGGAGGCGCAGGCGCTGATGGGTGTTCGAGGGAGCGCGAGGAAGGAATGGAGGCTTGGGGAATGAGTACAGAGGCTTGGGTAACGGGTTCAGAGGAGAGGGGAACGAAAGAAGAGGGGCGGGAAGCTAAGGAAGGGGCGCTGGAGGTTCGGGCAAGGCACGTGGCACGGCGGCCGTTGGATTGCAAGCGGAATCAACGGCTGTCCGTGACAGATATAACAGACGCGGTACTATACTCCTACGTGCCTGTTCCATCCCGTCAAGTTCTCGGTATCCACTTGCTCTCCTTTTCTAACAACTTTTTTTTTTCAACTATTCATCCACTCGCCCATTCTCCCACTCACCCATTCCCCCGTTCCCCCATCCGTCGCTGCTCGCAGGAGTGGTGTGAGCAGCGGGTGCTGTTCTCTCTCGCCTGCGGCAAACCCCCGCCAACAGCAGCGATGAGGGCGGGCGCGGAGAGGCACGCAGCGTTGGAGCGGGAGGTGGTGGAAGCAGTAGAGGTGGCCGTGGCAGCCAGGGAGGACGCGTGGGCGCTCAGACTGCTGGGGGCGGCTGCTAGAGTCCTGGCCCTGGGGGAGGGTATGAGGGAGGCGATGGGGGTTGCCATGGGGAGGGAGGATGGAGGAGTGGGGCCCTTTGGTGGTGATGCTGCCGGCATAACGCGAGAAGTCTTTGTGTGAGTGTCTCCTGCCCTGGCCCTTGCCCACTGCCTGTTGCTTCATCACCTCCTGCTGCTGCTCCTCCTCCTCCTGCTGCTGCTGTCTGATTACCCAACCAGCGAGCACATGTCTGTTGCTCCTACCGTCGAATCCCGCCATGCTCAGGTTGGGCAGGGTGCATGGCGTGTGGGTGGTGGGCGTGATTGATGAGCTGCGACTCGTGCGCCCTGGAGTTGCTGCAGCAGAAGACAGCGAGGGGATTGCAAGGAGCGCTGGCAGTCAAACAAGTCAAACAGCCAAAACAGGACAGACAGTTAGTCAGACAGGTCAAGCAGGTCAAACAGGTCAAACAGGACAGGCAGGTCAGACGGGCAAACCGAGCCATACAAGTCCTGTGAAAAGGAAATCTGGGTGCATGAGGACCGACGGATCACAGCCGTTAGATTCACAGCGGTTGGGCTCGCAGCTGTTAGATCCCCAGCCTTTGGAATCACAGCCGTTGGATTCACAGCCGATGATTTCAGGGTGCTCAACGGGATATGGTTCTGATTCACAGGCGATCAACTCCCAGTCATCCGATGTGTCCATGCAGCACGCATCACAACCTGATTCCACTAGAAACCCCCACATAGATGGGGCCATTACGGAAGGTGGGGGGGGGGGCGAGGAGGGCTGTGGAGAGGGTGGCAGGGAGGGAGGTGGGGAGGGAGGCATGGAAGGAGGCGGAGAGCACGGGGGCGGGTGGTGTGTGATGGTGGTGGACACCAAGACTCGTGTGCGGCCCCGCCCACCGAGAGCAGCGCAGAGCAGGAATGCCAGGTGGGCTTGTATGCAGGAGGGGGTGGGTGTGGGCGTGGGAAGGGAGGGCGGGAGCGGGTGGCGTGTGTGTGATGGTGGTGGACACCAAGACCCGCGTGCGGCCCCGGCCACCGAGAGCAGCGCAGAGCAGGAATGCCAGGTGGGGGGAGAAGACAGGTCGCCGTCATTCCTCGCTAGGTGGGCTCGCGCGCACACATGCTCCTGATTGTTTTCTGTATTGCCTTGTTTGCTTGCTCCTGGCTGCACCTCATGAACTCCTCATCCACGGAACTCCTCCTCTGCCCTCCGCCCTCTCTCTCGTGCAGCCTTCACCTCATGTGCTACAGCCGCCCTCCCCCCTCCTTCTTTCTCATCCCCTTTCTCCCGGGTGCAGGCTGCAGCTCATGTGCTACAGTGCGCTGCTGAGCAGCATGATTCGGCACGGCGTGCCTCAGGAGCCATTCTTCTCCTCCTTCCGCCTCCGCCCCCGCACCACCCTCTCTCCCCAAGTCCTCCAACATGCTGCTGAGGTCTTTCCACGGAGAATGGTGTGATTTTGGGGAGATGAGGTTATGGGGGAGGTGTGATATTGGGGAGGTGAGATGTTGGGGAGGTGAGATGTTGGGGAGGTGAGATGTTGGGGAGGTGAGATGTTGGGGTGGTGAGTTGTTGGGGAGGTGAGATGTTGGGGAGATGAGATGTTGGGGAGGTGAGAGGACGAAGGGTGTGGTGTTGTTTGCCGCTGCCTGTAGCCTCGGTGTGTCTTGTGTCTGCTGTCTTGTGTCCCATTTAGATCGAGCTTTTAGACGACTCAAAATCACCCTGCCTGTGGCCTCGGTGTGTCTTGTGTCTGCTCTCTTGTGTCCCGTTGTTCAGATCACTTGCCTTGCTGACGTCACGGCCGCAGTCTCTCACGCCTTCCAGTCACTGCAGCCGCTGCACTCCACCCTCCTTCTACGGTATGCAGACAGTATGGTAGCCTTGTCACGTCAATTCCTAGCATATGTTTTCCTTGCAATGCCATGCATGTCTGCACGACAGTCACAGTCACAGTCACAGCCAGTCTCCTCTCCCACGAGCGCCTGGAAATCACTCTCCTCTGAGTTGCTCCTCGGGTTGCTTTTCGCCGTGTTGCTGCTCGTTTGCAGGTACGAGTGGCAGGCGGATGGCTCACTCATTCACGAGGACCACTTCCCCTACGATCCCCCCTGGCTGCAAGCTAGCATCTCCACGAGCCTCGAGTTCTGGCTTGGGCGCCGCCAACCCTTCACCGTGCCTCGTGAAGAGGCTTGGAAATGCTCCTGGTGCTCGTTTGCTCCAGTTTGTCGCCCGGATTTGAGGTGGAAGGGACAAGCAGGAAATGGAGCACGTGGCTAGCCTGGGCTTTGTGTGTATGCTCAAGGATATCATCGCAGAACAACATGGCCACTCATTCGAGCCAACTAGCTAATGCTTGTAAATGCCGCAGGTAATTTGCATGTATGATTCCATGTATCAAGGATGTTAATGTACAGTAACTGCGTTGACCAAGACAGTAGCCCTAGTAAGGTGCTAAACATGCACACTTAATCTCCAATAGTACAATAAGCACATCGCTGAAGGGATGTGAGGTGTAGTGGTTCTGATATACGATGCTATATTGTTGTGAATCTGACTTGTGGTGGCGAGTGCATCAATGACGTCACGCGCCACTTCAGATTGGTTGAGGACTCCACTGATTTCGCACGCTTCGTGCACCAATCACCCTCGCCCTGATGCATTCCCAAGGGCCACCTGGTAGTACACCTGCGCTTTGGCATTCCGCAAATCAAGGCGCCCATCCACCCTCCCTCGAGCTTTCCATGCCTCCACCTCGAATCGCTCGCACACCTGCCTCTGTTTGTGCACCTTCCCCACCCCAGCTCTCCGCCACACCCTCTTTCTCCTCCGCTTCGTCCTGCGATCTCCGCTTTCCGCCATGATTTAATTTTCAGGGGAGCTGCTGTCTTGTTCGTAGCACTTGGTTTGCTTCTCCAAGTACATCCGTCATCACTTCCAGATGCAACAAACCGAACATAACCGTGGTATATCCCCAGAGAACAAACATCCTTACACCTTCTGAATTGCTGAATTCGCCCCAAGATTTCCACCATCCCAGTAGGGGCGTAGGGTCGAAGAATCTCGTCGTCAGTATCGTCACCGTGAGCGCATCGGCTCCCTCCGCGAGTCGGCTAATGCCACTGGGCTGAAGTAGACTCTATTGACGCGTCAGCTCGTGCTCTTTTCCGATGGAATCGTCGGCTCTCAGTCCCGGTTCGTTATGCAGCACAACGTAATGGCATAGCAGCTGGCCTAGCAAGCGATCTACAATAACGTAGTCATTCGTCGAAACAGATCGACGGAGGCAGCGCCTCCGCCTATCCCGTCTTCGTCTCCTCCTCTCATCTAATCACACTTGCAAGATCAGCATCTCGCAGCCATGGGTGTTCTGGACCGGACGAAGAAGGGCGACCAGAACAAAGGTGTGTCCATCGGGGATGCCATTTCTTTCGACACTGTTTAACACATTCAAGAAAATGTCTTCGATATCCACCTTTCGGCTTTGCCATCCACGCTTGGTCCAGGCTAAGTTGATTAATGTGTCAATGCAACCAGCTGATTGTTTGACCATAAATCTTTACTCCCACAAACGAGGCGACAATGCGACTCGAACCAGCGGAAAATGGACCTTATCATCTGCGCGCGAACATACGGTTTTTTTATTGGAATGATAAGTTTTTGCATGGCCACGTGGCATGCGCAGGCGGTAAGACGGTGGAGATGGGCGAAACGGGCGCGTGGCAGGCGGGCGGATTCGGCATCGACCCTGACGAACTCTCGCAAATGTCGCATCCGGGCGACTTCGTGAAATTGCAGTCCCTAGGAGGAGTGAGTGGTCGTTGGTGTGTCTGTGTGTTCACGTGAGTGCGTGTGTGCGTCTGTGTGTGCGCGCGCGTTTACGACGTGTGTGGGGCAAGCAGAAGCTAGTTTCAGATACCCCCTCTCGTCATGCGAGTCACGCCGCAACATATCCCCCTTCATCCATCCCCACACTGCACCCACCCGAGCTCCGCTTCCCCTCCAACCTTCCCCTCTCCAAACATCCCCACTTCTCCCTAACCTCCCCGGGCCGCTTGGCCGCAGGTGGATCCGCGGAGGGGCATCAGCGGCACGGAGGAGGACATTGCTCGATTCATGAGCTAGAGGATTCCCCCCTCTTTTCCCCCATACCGCACCCCTCTACAAACCTCTCCACCCCTCTCCAACCCCCCGGACTGCCATGGCAGCTAGGGGGCGTGGCGGAGCGGCTACAGGTGGACCCGCGGCGGGGCATCAGCGGCACGGACGAGGACATTGCGCGCCGCCAGCTGCACTTCGGAGCCAACACGTACCCCGAGAAGCCCGGCAAGACCTTCTGGGTACGCGCCTGAATCAGGGGTCACTCAGTGTGGTTCAGTGTGGTTCAACGGGCCAACGATCAGTGGGTCAGTGTGGCCCACTTTGGCGCCAAGCCAACACGTACCCCGAGAAGCCCGGCAAGACCTTCTGGTTACGTGCCTGCGGGTCAGGGGTAGGCGGTTAGTGTCTGTGGCAGTGGCCAGTGTGGAGTGGGTCAGTGGAAGGGAGGGAGCACAAAGACGCACGTTGAACCCAAAGCCTTAAACCCAGACTCATGTGCCCCCGCTGCTCGCTTCCCTGTGCGGCCCACCCTATGCCCCTCCGCCCTAAGCTTCTCCATTCTCTTTTCCCCCTTATGCCCATCCCGGCAGTACTTGGTGTGGGAAGCCATACAGGACAAGTTGGTGCAGCAGTGCAGATCCTCTTAGTGTGTGCCAACCAGTGACCCGTCTCGCTTTACACACACTGCAAACATCCTCCCCTACTCTCCCCTCCTCCCCTCCCCAACCCAACAGTACTTCGTGTGGGAGGCGATGCAGGACACATTAGTGCAGATCCTGTTTGTGTGTGCCATAGCGTCCATCGCCGTGAGCATCCCTGCAGAGGGTTCCCTGGAGGGGCTGTACGACGGGCTGGGCATCTTCATCGCGCTCTTCCTCATCATCACCGTTGCTGGTAGGCACTGTCGCTGGTAACGCACACAAGCCTTCACTTGTCACACCATCGGTGGTTCGCACTGCTGCTGCACACCCACTGGGCTCCCTGGAGGGGCTGTACGATGGGCTGGGCATCTTCATCGCTCTCTTCCTCATCATCACTGTTGCTGGTAGGTAACACACGGACACACACTCATACATCCGCACGTGTCACTTGCTGCCAGTGAGCCCGCTGGTACCGCCCTCTCTCCCTTCTTACAGCTCCTCCGCTTCCCCCGTCATCCCCCTGCATGCATCACTATCGCCTCTGCATCTCTCACTTTGGCTTCTCCATCACTCTCCACCCATTTCGTGTGTTCCCCTTCAACCCCCCTGCGTGCGCCCGTGTGTGGTGAGCAGCGATAAGCAACTACCGGCAGGCACTGCAGTTCCAGAAGCTCAACCGCGAGAAGCAGAAGATTCAGATCGAGGTGAGCGGTGCTGCAATGTCGCGCACCCAAATCAGCCTCCGGTGGTATCATCCATGTTACCATCTCGCCCTATTGTGCCCTCCTGCTGCTGCACACCTCACCCTCACATGCCCTCCACTCCACCATCGCTTCATCCCCTCTGCTCCACCCCCCTCTCCTCCATACCAACCCTTATATGGCCCTCTACATGCGTATGCCCCTATGCACGTGCACCGGTACACCCTACGTCCCATCCTGCGCCACCTGCAGGTGACGCGGTCAGGGCGGCGCTGCAAGGTGTGGATAGACGACCTGGTGGTGGGGGACATCATCCACCTCTCCACGGGTGACCATGTGAGTGCCTTGCCATGCTTCTCTAGCCTTGTATCCGCCTCTCTCCCATGGCATCCTTTGCTCTCAACCTTGGCGCTGCACGGTGCTGATAGACCACCTGGTGCTGTAGTCTTGAGAATATCAAGTCATTTCATGCCTGCCTCAAAAGAACGCCAAACGCGATGCTTCCTAAATGCTGTGCACTCTCTCCTCTCCTGTGCAACGACATGGGTATACGGGCACATGGCAACAGGTACCAACGGACGGGGTGGTGATGGAGGGGCATTCGTTGGCAGTCAACGAGTCGAGCATCACAGGGGAGTCAGAGAACGTGAGCGCTGCCCTTTTGGGTGCTGCCGTGATGTAGTGCCACCCTTTTCAGTGCTGCCGTGATGTAGTGCCACCCTTTTCAGTGCTGCCGTTTGAGTGCCGTGCTTTTGAGAGGCTGCCCCGCCTTGGGCCTGCCAGAACGTGAGTGCTGTCTGCCATGGCCCTCCTTTCTTTGGCTTCTGGTTGGATACCAACATTTGCATTGACATCTGCTGCCAGTGAAACCAACAACGCACTGACGCCCTGTGCCATTGCATGTCGTGCTGCGGCGTGCTGTGCTGTGCTGTGCTGTGCTGTGGTATTCTATGGTACAGATGCACAAGGACGAAGCCAACCCTTTCATTCTCGCTGGCTGCACCATCATGGATGGATTCGGCGAGATGATGGTGAGACGCTGTTGGGGGGTTGTTTGTTACCAGGTGTTCACAGGGAGACGCTGTTGGGGGGTTGTTTGTTACCAGGTGTTCACAGGGAGACGCTGTTGGGGGGTTGTTTGTTACCAGGTGTTCACAGGGAGACGCCGCTGAACCGGTTCCAGTCAAACCGTCAGGATCTCAACCATGTATGGCAAACTTCAAACCTCTGGTCCCTCGCATTTGGTTAGTCTCGAACCGAACCAGTTCAGTTCATGCAACTCTTTGAAGGCCACTTCGAGTTTGGTTGTTGCTCATGCCCACCTGCTACCTTGCCTGCCTCTGTGTGTGCCTCTGTGTGTGCCTCTGTGTGTGCCTCTGTGTGTGCCTCTGTGTGTGCCTCTGTGTGTGCCTCTGTGTGTGCCTGTGTGTGTGCCTGTGTGTATGCCTGTGTGTGTGCCTGTGTGTGTGCCTGTGTGTGTGCCTGTGTGTGTGCCTGTGTGTGTGCCTGTGTGTGTGCCTGTGTGTGTGCCTGTGTGTGTGCATGCGTACGGGCATGCGTGCATGGTGAGCAGGTGACGGCGGTGGGAATGAGGACGGAGTGGGGCAAGGTGCTGGCGACCATCACAGAGGACAGCGACGAGCCCACACCACTGCAGGTTAGTTCGTTGGGGGTGTGGTGGGCAGAGGGAGAGGTGCAGAAGAGAGATCAACAGGTAATAGTTGCACGCTGCTGCAGGTGAGTGGGGCAAGCTGCTAGCGACCATCACTGAGGACAGCAACGAGCCCACGCTGCTGCAGGTTAATGGGGTGTGAGGTGGTCCTAGACCACGCCGCTGCAGGTTAATGGGGTGTGAGGTGGTCCTAGACCACGCCGCTGCAGGTTAATGGGGTGTGAGGTGGTCCTAGACCACGCCGCTGCAGGTTAATGGGGTGTGAGGTGGTCCTAGACCACGCCGCTGCAGGTTAATGGGGTGTGAGGTGTTCCTAGACCACGCCGCTGCAGGTTAATGGGGTGTGAGGTGGTCCTAGACCACGCCGCTGCAGGTTAATGGGGTGTGAGGTGGTCCTAGACCACGCCGCTGCAGATTGGCGATTGTGAGGCGGCCATAGAGCACCTGTTGAGAAGTCAAGAAAATGCGGAGAAGAATCGCTCACTGGTAAGGGAGAGGCAGAGCAGCAGTGCAGGCAGAGTAGCAATGCTTGCATCTCTAGTAAGGTGATACAGCCAGGTTGCTATGTGTTTCAAATCCTTGTGTGTCCCCCCTCTGCCCTGCCCACCACTAGGTGCGGCTGACCAAGGTGGCAGAGCTGCTGGGCGTCATGGGCAATGCTTTTGAGGTGGCATGGCACAGTCAGCTCGCTGCAGTTCAGATCCTACAAACTCCCCCCTCCCCGTTCCCCTTCGTGCACCACCAGGTGCGGCTGACCAAGGTGGCAGAGCTGCTGGGCATCATGGGCATCGCTGTGGGCGTGCTCATCTTCCTCATCCTCAGTATCAGGTGCGCTCTTACTCGGTGTAAGGTGTTGCTCTGCTCATCACGGTGCCTTTTGTACTCAATATGTAGGCATGTTGCACACTCGGAAGAGGCGTATACAGTGTAGGACACCAGACACGTATGGTGCATTTTATGGTTCTCAGGAGGAGCCTAATTGGATTCTAAAAAACGCCACACCATCCCATGCGACACCACACCACACCACACCACACCGCGCCCCGTAGGTACCTGGTGACGGATGCTGACTTCAGCAACTTCACTGCCGATGACGTCAGCGTGCTGCTCAGCTACTTCACCATCGCGGTATGCCTGCCTGCCACCATCCCGCAACCACTCACTCTCGTATTGCCATCAAGTGCAGTGTGCTCGCACTGCAAGCGCTGCGATATTGAATTGCAGCACTGCAACATGGCACAGCACTGCAACATGGCACAGCACTGCAACATGGCACAGCACTGCAACATGGCACTGCACTGCAACATGGCACAGCACTGCAACATGGCACAGCACTGCAACATGGCACTGCACTGCAACATGGCACAGCACTGCAACATGGCACTGCACTGCAACATGGCACTGCACTGCAACATGGCACAGCACTGCAACATGGCACAGCACTGCAACATGGCACTGCACTGCAACATGGCACAGCACTGCAACATGGCACTGCACTCAGCTACGTCACCATCGCAACACGCTCTCGTCCATCCCTCAACCACTCACTCTCACATCGCCACCCATTGCTGTATGTTCGCACTCCACCCTGCAACATGGTACATCGCTCACTGCAATGTCTGTCCTCCTGTCCGTCCCTCTCCATGCCTCTCTCCGTCCTCTCATCCGCCCCCATCAGATCACAGTGCTGGTCATTGCAGTGCCAGAAGGCCTTCCCCTTGCTGTCACTCTCACGTAAGCTCAAGAGCATTTCTAAGAACGGTCATTTGCACTGCCTGTATAGCTCACTCTCCTGCTCACGCACCATCCTTCCTCCTCCACGCCTTTCCTCTCACACTTCTTTCCTCCATCCTCCCCTGCTCCACCACCTGTACCCTGCTCCCCCCACCTGTACCTGCATACCAGTCTGGCCTTTTCAGTGACCAAGATGATGGAAGATAACTCGCTGGTGAGCTCACACTCACGCCTCTCTCTCGTTTCCCCCGCTGTTCATGCCTGCTGTTTCCTGCTCTTTCTTCTCTGCTATGCTGTGCTACTGTTGGTATGATGCTAATGCTGTGTCATGTACACCTCACTGCATATCGACACATGTATGCCCTGCATTATTGGAGTGACTTTTGAGAATTCTCAAAAGACCGCACTGCATATCGACACATGTATGCCCTGCATTGCATCGTGTGCTGCCCATCATCCCCACCAGGTGCGGCATCTGCAGTCGTGTGAGACCATGGGGTGTGCTACCACCATCTGCAGTGACAAGACCGGCACGCTCACTCTCAACGAGGTGAATTCTTGCCCTCTGTTTCCCCTTGCTTGCCACACTCCCGTACTCTCAAACATTACCTGGTTGCACGTGGTGAGTGCTCCCACTGACCCTTGTTGTGCATGCTCCCTCTGTGCTGCTCTGGTTCTTTCTCACCTTCTCCTGCACCTCCTATTCTATGCCACCTCTCACTTCCTCCCTCCTGCCTCCCATTCTCTCGCACCTTCTCTTGCACCAGTCGTTCTATCTCAGGTCCCTCTCCCACTCCCTCTCTCACATCTCCCATGTTCGTCCTCTCCCCCTCTCCCCACACACAGATGACAGTGGTGCAGGCATGGGTTGCGGGCGACTTTCATAAGCCCCACACCGTCCGCACTGGCGTCTCCACACCCGTCGCTCAGGTATGCCAGCCTCAGGTATGCCTGCCTCAGGTATGCCTGCCTCAGGTACGCCTGCCTCAGGTACGCCTGCCTCAGGTACGCATATGCCTTGAGTACACCAATGCCTCAGGTACACAACTACCTCAGATATGCCTTGTCTGTAGCGGCCGTAGCTACTGGTCCCTAGCTAATAGTCCGTCCTGCCTCTCGCCCTCTGGCTGCATATCAGCCCCGGGGGTGCCAACACCACCGGGGGGCTGTGCTCTCAGACACACGCCTCTCACACTGATACGCTCCCCTTCCCCCCTGCCATGCGTGTGTCCACTGTCCCCACAGCTTCTCTACCAGGCCATTGCAGTCAACACCAGTGGATCCGTCGATGAGCCGCCGGTACCCTCCCTCCTCTTCACCTCGCGCTCCTCCTCGCCTTTCCCTCCTCCTCGCCTTTCCCTCCTCCTCGCCTTTCCCTCCTCCTCGCCTTTCCCTCCTCCTCGCCTTTCCCTCCTCCTCGCCTTTCCCTCCTCCTCGCCTTTCCCTCCTCCTCGCCTTTCCCTCCTCCTCGCCTTTCCCTCCTCCTCGCCTTTCCCTCCTCCTCGCCTTTCCCTCCTCCTCGCCTCGCTCTCTTTCTCATATTTCTCCACCTCGCCCCTTTCTCCTCAATCTCTCCCATCCATCCATCCCATCTTGCCATGCTGCTATTCTTGCTGCTCTGCCCACATCGTCTCTCACAGCCCCACTCCTGCCTCACCTCAACCCTTCACCCCTCATTGTTCACCCCCCCCTCTTACTCCCGCTGCATCCTCGCTCCTCCTCCTCCTACTCCGGTTTTCTCCCCCGGCCTAATCTCTCTCCCTCTGCCTTTCTCCCTCCTCCCCATTCCATGTGCTGCCACGTGGAAGGAGCAGGGCATGCCACCTGTCATCAGCGGCAGCCCCACAGAAAAGGCCATCCTTGCCTGGGGAGTCTCGGTAAGACATCCCTGCCACCCTCCTCCCTCGGTATGCTGGATTTACTCCTGAGAAATCTGAAGTTTGCCACTCGCCCCATCCACCCCCCTCCCATGTTACACACTCTTGAGATTTTTAAGAAATGCCGCCCTTAAGCTCTCCGATGCTGCGAGGTGCTGGCAATGCAGCCCTTAAGCTCCGATGCTGCCGTGTCTTGTGCTAACCATTCCCCTCCCCCTGCGCCCTTTCATTCCCCTCCACCAGTTCGGCATGCGCTTCCACGAGACCAAGGAGCAGTGCGAGGTGGTGGCGGTGCAGCCCTTCAGCTCCACGCGCAAGCGCATGGGCGTGCTCATCCGCACCTCCTCCTCCCCCTCCACCGACTCTCTCACCGCTTCCCCCACCACCGCCACCACCGGCAGCACCAGCAGCACAGGAACCGCGGGAAGCACCACTCCTGGGAGCCTGCGCGTGCACTGGAAGGGCGCAGCAGAGGTGGTGCTGCAGCACTGCGGGCACTACGTGAACTCCCTCGGCAGCATCGTGCCTCTCACCGAACCCAAGCGCATGGAGCTAGAGAGAGCTCTTCGAGACATGGGAAAAGAGGCTCTGCGCACGCTGGGGTTTGCGTTTCGGGACTTTGACAAACGGACAGGGGTGGAGGGGATGCCGAAGAGAGAGGACGGCAGCGTGGGGGTACCAGAGGACGATCTAGTTTATGTGGGGTTTGTTGGGATTAAGGACCCGTGTAGGGTTGAGGTGCCGGATTCGGTGCAGCACTGCCAGAACGCGGGGATTGTGGTGCGCATGGTGACGGGGGATAGTGTGGAGACGGCCACGGCGATTGCCACCGAGTGCGGGATCCTCACGGCGGGTGGCACTGTCATGGACGGCGCGCAGTTCCGCGCCATCCATGAGAACGACCTCCCCGCAAGTGTTGACCGCCTGCAGGTGGGACTTAGGGTGCAAGGGGGTTGCAGATGTGCAGGTGGGCAGCGGTTCCATATCGTCATCTCCTCACCCCCCCTCCCCCTCCCTCTTCCTCTGTGTTTCACGATTGACTGAATCCTCCCCACCTCCTTCCACCAAACCTCCTCCTTCCCGCCCCATGCCATGCAGTCCCCTGCATCAGGTGCTGGCGCGTGCTTCACCCACGGACAAGCTGCAGCCGGTGCGTGCACTCAAGGAGATGTTTGAGTCCGCTCACTAACATGCTCTCTCGCCCACCATCCCCCGCTTCTTCTCATGTCCTTCACCAGGTGCTTGCACGTGCGTCCCCCACGGACAAGCTACAGCTGGTGCGCGCTCTCAAGGAGATGGGACATGTGGTGGCCGTGACAGGTGATGGCACCAACGACGCCCCTGCGCTGCATGAGGTATGTGCGTGTGAGGTGGGTGCATGGGGTGTGTTCGTGGGTGGGTCGATGGGTGGATGGGTGTATGTGATATGTGCATGGAGAATTGATGCGTGCATGAGGCATCGATGTGTGCGCTGCCCATGTGGCGCCCCAGCAGCAGCAGCCAGAGATGTGACAGGCATGGGGCAGTGCAGCACGGGCTTGCCAGAGAGAGAGAGTGAGCATCATTCTTCCGTCCTGGGCAACACCTTAATACGTACAACACGTCTCCCCTTCCCCCCCCACCCACACAGGCGGACATAGGCCTGGCCATGGGGCAGTGCGGCACAGAAGTGGCAAAGGAAAGCGCGGACATCATCATCCTGGACGACAACTTTGCATCCATCGTGCGCACCGTCGTGTGGGGGCGCTCCGTGTTCGCCAACATTCAGCGCTTCCTGCAGTTCCAGATCACCGTCAACTGCGTGGCACTGACGCTCAACTTCATCTCTGCGGTCGTTACAGGGGATGCGCCTCTCACTGCCGTGCAGGTGAGTAGGGGCGTACTGGCAGTGGGCGTGCTGTGTGCTGCCTTGCATGTGTGTGGGGGCGCTCCGTGTTCGCCAACATACAGCGCTTCCTGCAGTTCCAGATCACAGTCAACTGCGTGGCCCTCACCCTCAACTTCATCTCCACTGTTGTTACAGGGGATGCTCCCCTCACGGCCGTGCAGGTGCGTACCAGCTTTGTTGCTGACAATCGACCATGCACCGTTGAGTCAACTCACTGCATTGCTGGCAGGCAGTTGGGGGCAGTGCAGACACACTGAGTCGACTCAAAGCCCCTGTTGAGACGTCTCAAAAGCAGTGCAGACACACTAAGTCGACTCAAAGCCCCTGTTGAGACGTCTCAAAAGCAGTGCAGACACACTGAGTCGACTCAAAGCCCCTGTTGAGACGTCTCAAAAGCAGTGCAGACACACTGAGTCGACTCAAAGCCCCTGTTGAGACGTCTCAAAAGCAGTGCAGACACACTGAGTCGACTCAAAGCCCCTGTTGAGACGTCTCAAAAGCAGTGCAGACACACTAAGTCGACTCAAAGCCCCTGTTGAGACGTCTCAAAAGCAGTGCAGACACACTAAGTCGACTCAAAGCCCCTGTTGAGACGTCTCAAAAGCAGTGCAGACACACTGAGTCGACTCAAAGCCCCTGTTGAGACGTCTCAAAAGCAGTGCAGACACACTGAGTCGACTCAAAGCCCCTGTTGAGACGTCTCAAAAGCAGTGCAGACACACTGAGTCGACTCAAAGCCCCTGTTGAGACGTCTCAAAAGCAGTGCAGACACACTGAGTCGACTCAAAGCCCCTGTTGAGACGTCTCAAAAGCAGTGCAGACACACTGAGTCGACTCAAAGCCCCTGTTGAGACGTCTCAAAAGCAGTGCAGACACACTGAGTCGACTCAAAGCCCCTGTTGAGACGTCTCAAAAGCAGTGCAGACACACTGAGTCGACTCAAAGCCCCTGTTGAGACGTCTCAAAAGCAGTGCAGACACACTGAGTCGACTCAAAGCCCCTGTTGAGACGTCTCAAAAGCAGTGCAGACACACTGAGTCGACTCAAAGCCCCTGTTGAGACGTCTCAAAAGCAGTGCAGACACACTAAGTCGACTCAAAGCCCCTGTTGAGACGTCTCAAAAGCAGTGCAGACACACTAAGTCGACTCAAAGCCCCTGTTGAGACGTCTCAAAAGCAGTGCAGACACACTGAGTCGACTCAAAGCCCCTGTTGAGACGTCTCAAAAGCAGTGCAGACACACTGAGTCGACTCAAAGCCCCTGTTGAGACGTCTCAAAAGCAGTGCAGACACACTGAGTCGACTCAAAGCCCCTGTTGAGACGTCTCAAAAGCAGTGCAGACACACTGAGTCGACTCAAAGCCCCTGTTGAGACGTCTCAAAAGCAGTGCAGACACACTGAGTCGACTCAAAGCCCCTGTTGAGACGTCTCAAAAGCAGTGCAGACACACTGAGTCGACTCAAAGCCCCTGTTGAGACGTCTCAAAAGCAGTGCAGACACACTGAGTCGACTCAAAGCCCCTGTTGAGACGTCTCAAAAGCAGTGCAGACACACTGAGTCGACTCAAAGCCCCTGTTGAGACGTCTCAAAAGCAGTTCAGACACACTGAGTCGACTCAAAGCCCCTGTTGAGACGTCTCAAAAGCAGTTCAGACACACTGAGTCGACTCAAAGCCCCTGTTGAGACGTCTCAAAAGCAGTTCAGACACACTGAGTCGACTCAAAGCCCCTGCTCTCCACATGCTCTGGGCTGACTTGATTCAGGACACACTAGGAGCTCTCGCCCTCGCCACAAAACCACCGTCTGACAAGCTACTGGAGCAGCCGCCCGTGGGGCGCAGCCAGGAGCTCATTTCACCTGCACTGCACCCTCCTCTCTCCCACCCCCTTATTGAACTCCGTCTCCTTTCCCCCCTTGTTCTCCAGATGCTCTGGGTGGACTTGATTCAGGACACGCTAGGAGCGCTCGCTCTCGCCACAGAGCCCCCCTCCGACAAGCTCCTGGAGCAGCCGCCTGTGGGGCGCAGCCAAGGCCTCATTTCCACTGCACTTCACCCTCCTCCCTTTCTCCTACCAATCTCCAGATGCTCTGGGTGGACTTGATTCAGGACACGCTAGGGGCGCTCGCTCTCGCCACAAAACCACCGTCTGACAAGCTACTGGAGCAGCCGCCCGTGGGGCGCAGCCAGGAGCTCATTTCCCCTGCCCTGCACCCTTCTCCCTCCCAACCCCTTATTAAACATCTTCTCCTTCCCCCCCTTGTTCTCCAGATGCTCTGGGTGGACTTGATTCAGGACACGCTAGGAGCGCTCGCGCTGGCCACGGAACCGCCCTCCGACAAGCTTCTGGAGCAGCCGCCAGTGGGGCGCAGCCAGGAGCTGGTGTCCGCTGCCATGTGGCGCAACATCATTGGGCAGACGGTGTACCAGCTGTCGCTGCTGTGCGTGCTGTGGTTCAAAGGCATGGAGCTGCTGCAGCTGCCCGGGCCCCCGGGCGTGCCGCGGGTGATTGCTAAAGGGGGAGAGGAGATCTCGGAAGGGGAGAAGCAGCTCGTTACCATCATATTCTCCTCATTCGTCTTCATGCAGGTGTGGGGGTCTCAAATTGTGTCTTCATGCAGGTGGGTTGGGGGATGGGTGTGATGGCAATGGGAATGCTGTGCGTGCTGTGGTTCAAAGGCATGCAGCTGCTGCAGCTGCCGGGGCCCCCGGGCGTGCCACGGGTGATTGCCAAAGGGGGAGAGGAGATCTCGGAAGGGGAGAAGCAGCTTGTTACCATCATCTTGTCCTCATTCGTCTTCATGCAGGTGAGTCGGGGGGGTGGGTGTGACGACGATGGGATTGACGACTCGTACGTATGGTGCCCATGGGCCATGTATATGGTTCATTGTGGGAGATGATGGGATATGCTTTTCAAGCTCAGGTGCACCTTCCCCTATCGCTCTCCCCCATGTGGCCCACCAGATATTCAACCACCTGAACTCGCGCAAGCTGGACGAGTGGAGCTTCGTGTGGCTGTCAGCACAACACCTTTATCAATACCGTCTCTCTGCCCTTCCACCTTCACCCCCCCCTCCAACCCCTTACTCCACCGCCGCCCATCAGATATTCAACCAGCTGAACTCGCGCAAGCTGGACGAGTGGAACGTGTTTGAGGGGCTGTGTGGCTCGAATCAGTGTCAGATGCACCTCCACTCCTCTCCTCTCCCTGTCCTTTCCCCCCGCGCCCCTCGGCCCATCAGATATTCAACCAGCTGAACTCGCGCAAGCTGGACGAGTGGAACGTGTTTGAGGGGCTGTGTGGCTCGAATCAGTGTCAGATGCACCTCCACTCCTCTCCTCTCCCTGTCCTTTCCCCCCGCGCCCCTCGGCCCATCAGATATTCAACCAGCTGAACTCGCGCAAGCTGGAGGAGTGGAACGTGTTTGAGGGGCTGCTCGTCAACCGCCTCTTCATCCTCATCGTCTCCATTGAGCTCTCCGTGCAGGTCAGAGCAAGCTGGTTATGGTTGGTCAATTTCAGGTTAGTGTGCGCTGCTAGTCAATGCAGGTCAGTGCTAGTCGATGCTGGTCAACGCAAATGAATATTGGTCAATGCAAGTCAGTCCAGGTCAGTAGTGGTCAATGCTGTTTGTTGCTGCACTTACAAAAAGGCTGCTGCTGCTTCAGGGCAACTCACTAACCAAGTGCAGAAACAGGTGCAGCTCAGGTTGCTTGCAACAAGGGCTTTAATGCAATAGATCCAACCAACCTCTGCTTGCACACTCACACTCCCCTCTATCTCATCCTCTCTTGCCCCACACTCCAACCCCCAGGTGCTCCCAATGGAGCTGCCAAGGTCCTTTCTAAAAATATCCACCCTTTTCTCCCCCTCTCCTGCTCTTCCTCTCTCTTGCCCCTCCATTTCTCCAGGTGCTGCTGGTGGAGCTGCTGGGCAAGTTCGCGGGCTGTGTGCGCCTGACGCTGCTGCAGTGGGCGCTCTGCTTCGCCCTGGGGGCTGGATGCGTGCCCTTTGGCATGCTCTCCAAGCTCATCCCCCTGCCAGGTATGCTTCACACTGTATGCATGGTGGGTGGTGGTACACCTCAAAAGCACCTATGGTTCATGCACAGGTAGCACAGGCGTGCTCTCCAGACTCATCCCCCTGCCAGGTACTGCTTCTCATTCTGTGCATGGTGGTACACTACACTTCATGGTACACTACACTTCATGGTACACTGCCATGTTCTGTACACTGCCATGTTCTGTACACTATCCCCAGTTTTGTAATGATGAGACTGATGCTGACTGTTTCCCTCCCCAACACCCCCCTTGCCTTGCTCCATCATTCTATGCAGGGAAACGCCATGCTCGGAAGAAGATACTGTTTGGCAGGAATGCCAACCAGGGCTTTGAGCGCCTCGACGAAGCCCAATGATCAATCGTCTTTAGGGTTAATTGGGATATACCGTGCTAGTCTTACCACAAAGGAGGCTTCAACTGGCCAAGCCTCTTGCGTGCAAATTTTAAATATGTTGGGGTCTGGCAAAATAGGGGAAATAAGTCACTGAAGTTGATGCTGTTTGAATTATGTGATTCGGGCTTCAGCTCTACTCAAATTTGCCAACTATTACCGTATTTGAAATTGTAACAAGAACATCGCAACGTGTTGTTGGGATTGACAGCGCGGTAAGAGCGAACATGCAGATAGCGAGGACGCTTAGGTGGGAGCTTCTTGCTCGTTGCTCGTTGCTCATGCCACTTCAAATTGCTCCCGCGATTCGCGTCATCGACTGCTCCGCCAATTGCTCTTTTACCATCTTTTCATTAGCGGCTAATCCACTTTGCTGCGCAATTATCGCCGTTTCTCGTTCGCGCTCACACACGTAACGCGTCGTGCGATTCGCTGTGATGTCCGCAGCAGCAGCGGCGGGCCGCGCCGTGTGGTTCGACGCGCACTGCCATCTGCAGGACCCGCGCATCGCCGCGCGCGCCGCGCGCATCGTGGGCGACGCGGCCGACGCGGGCGTCCAATGGATGGTCTGCAACGGCACGCATGAGGTCAGCAGTAAAAATGGTGACGTCAGAATCCACAGGAATCGTGTCAGCAGCGGCCATTTAATTCAACCGACGCCTCTTATAGCCTCCCCCGCCTCAGCACCCACCCTTCCAAGAAAAAGATTCTCCTGCTCTCATGCTCCCATGCGTGCCCTCGCCTCCCCCTCCCATGCCCAATGCTTCCCATGCGCGGGCGGGCATCAGGGGGATTGGGATGCAGTGGCCGCCTTTGCTGCTGACTTTTGAGTCAGCTCAAAAGTTCTTACTCCCATGCGCGTCCTCCCATTCCCATGCCCCCATGCTCCCATGCGCGCCCTCCCATTCCCATGCCCCCATGCTCCCATGCACGGGCGGGCGTCAGGGCGACTGGGATGCTGTGGCCGCCATTGCTGCTGCCCACCCTTGCGTCATCCCATCCTTCGGCCTGCACCCATGGTATGTGAGCGTACATGCATGGCGCATGACGAATGGCTCTTGATGCATGAGTCATGGCACATGACGGATGGCTCATACCCCCATGCCCCCATATCCCCGTGCCCACCCCCGTGTCCCAATGCCCCCATGCCCCCATGCCCCCATGCCCCCATGCCCCCATGCCCCCATATCCCCAAGCCCCCCCCGTGCACCCGTGCACGCACCCATGCCCCCACGCCCCCATGCCTGCAGGTACGTGCACTGTCGGTCGGCCCAGTGGCTGCAGCATCTGGAGGAGCGCCTCTCAGCGCATCCCCACGCGGCCATGGGCGAGGTGGGCACTTCATGCTCCTGTATTTGAGTCAGACTAAAAAACAGAACGCAGCTCCAGTCCCCGAGGCGGGACTGCAGCTCCAGTCCCCGAGGCGGGACCGCAGCTCCAGTCCCCGAAACTAGTTTACGCAAGGAGGCTTTTCTGAAACAAGGGGTTTTCCAGATCTACGAATTTCACACGTTTTTACCTTTCTGCTCTTGATCCTTTTCCTAAAGCGTCACCAGCACGTAGCAGGCCTTCGACTATGAGTCAGAAAGATCCTTGGGGGAGAAGGCGGGCGGAGGAACGAGGGGGGGAGAGCGGAATGGAATGAAGATACGGCTTGGAATAGCGGCTTGAGTACTTACTGTGCCTTGAAGGGTCAGACCTCTCTCTTGGTCCGCATGCCCCCCATGCCCTGCCCCTCGTCCCACTCCCGCCAGGCAGGCCTGCACTGCAGCAGGAAATCTGGCAACAACGGCAACAGCAGTGGCAGCGGCAGTGGCAGCAGTAACAGGGGGCCGGAGACGGAGGAGCAGGTGGAGGTGACGTGCGAGCAGCAGGTGGAGGTCACTTGCACCGCAGCCAAGGGCCAAACCTCTCCGTTTTTGTCCACCTGCCCTGCACCTCAACCCATCTTCCCCAGGCAGGCTTGCATCGTAGCAGGAAGGCCAGCAGCGGTAGCAGCGGCAGCAGGGGGGCAGCGATGGAGGAGCAGGTGGAGGTGATGTGCGCGCAGCTGCAGCTGGCTCGCCGCTTGCACCGCCCCATCGCCCTGCACTGCGTTCAGGCGTACGGGAACATGCTCACAGCCCTGCAGCAGGTACGGCACTGCAGCAAGAGTGGCACTGCAGCAAGAGTGGCGCTGCAGCAAGAGTGGCGCTGCAGCAAGAGTGGCGCTGCAGCAAGAGTGGCGCTGCAGCAAGAGTGGCGCTGCAGCAAGAGTGGCGCTGCAGCAAGAGTGGCGCTGCAGCAAGAGTGGCACTGCAGCAAGAGTGGCGCTGCAGCAAGAGTGGTGCTGCAGCAAGAGTGGTGCTGCAGCAAGAGTGGCGCTGCAGCACGTGTGGCGTTATTGAAACACTGTGCCCCATCGCCCTGCACTTCGTTCAGGCATATGGTTACTTGCGTGAGGCCCTGCAGCAGGTATGACACTGCATCAAGCGTGGCATTACCAACGAACTGCGCCCCATGGCCCTGCACTGCGATCAGGCATATGGTCACATGCTCATGGCCCTGCACTGCGATCAGGCATATGGTCACATGCTCACGGCCGTGCAGCAGGTAACGCGCTTTACGCCCAGCACTGTCCTTTGCATGCATACTGTCATGCCCTTTGTTCCACTCTTACCCCTTGGACCTTACCTCCACCCCCCTCCACGCCTCCCCTCCTCACAGCACAGCCCATTCCCACCATTCTGGTGGGTGAATCATTCTGCATTCCTTGAACGGCCCTCCAGAAATGCCTCCTTGCTCCCATTCCACCCCTCGTACCCGCTCCCTCCCCTCCCCCCTCCCCACAGCACGGCCCATTCCCAGCAGGAGTCATTCTGCATTCATTCAACGGCCCTTCAGAAATGATTTCAGCGCTCGTCTCTCTCAACACCTTCTTCTCCTTCTCCCGCCTCTCCGCCTCCTCGCCCCCCCACAAGCTCTCACACCTGCTGCACCAGGTATGTATGCTCCCCACAACCTCCGCTTCTGCACTGCAGAAACAAATCTCTGAGTCTCTACATCTGCCTCCCAAACCATATGTCTCACGCACCCCTTAGGGGGCTGCTCTCACCCACCCCTTAGGGGGCTGCTCTCACGCACCCTCAAATCCGTGTACCTGTCACCCTCAAATCCGTGTACCTGTCACCCTCAAATCCGTGTACCTGTCACCCTCAAATCCGTGTACCTGGCACCCTCAAATCCGTGTACCTGTCACCCTCAAATCCGTGTACCTGTCACCCTCAAATCCGTGTACCTGTCACCCTCAAATCCGTGTACCTGTCACCTGACCTGTCCCTTACGGGGCTGCTGTCACCCACCCAGCTCACCCACTCTCTCCCCTCTCCATACACCTCCCCCCTGCACCTTTCACCCCCCCAGGTGCCTCTGGATCGCCTCCTACTGGAAACAGACTCACCTGACAGCCTCCCCTCTCCCCCCTGACCCACCTCTTCGTTACTCGCTCGCTCCCACCCTCCTCACTCCTCTCTCTCTCTCCCCTCCACCTTCACCTTTCACCCCCTACCCAGGTGCCTCTGGATCGCCTCCTACTGGAAACAGACTCACCTGACGGCCTCCCCCCTGCCAGGCGCAAGGGGGGGGAGGGCAGCACTGGGAGGGGCGGGGGAGGAGACGGGAAGGCAAGGAGGGGTGGGGATGAGGGGTGCAGGAGGAGGGATTCTCATTCTGAGGCGCAGCAACGAGGGGAGAGTGGAGGAGGCGAGAGGGGCGGCATGGAAGGGGAGAGAGGAGAGGAGAGAGGAGAGGACAGAGGGAAGGAGGGAGGGGGGGAGAGAGGAGAGGAAAGGGCAGAGAGAGGGTCGGGAGAGGCAGAGGAAGAAGGCAGGGGAGAGGTGGAGGGCAGTGGCGATGATTCTGCCTTGAATTCACCAGCTACCATAGGCCTGGTGAGGGCTACCATTGGCCTGGTGAGAGGGCACTGTTGATGAGGCACACTCACACACTTACGCATGCCACACACTCCCATCCCACATGACACACACTCATGCATGGTTAACACTCACACATGACGCAAGCACCATGAGATATGGCTCTAGTCGCCTCTTTTTTTTCTCCCATCTCGCCTTCCCTACTCAATTCTCCCTACTGGCTTCTCCCGTTTTCCCCACTTTCTCCCGTCTCCCTTCTCCCCTTTCCCTTCTTTCTCCTCCCACCTTTCTCCCCCTTGTCTCTCCCCCCCCGCTCCCATCCAGGTGTGTGAGATGGTGGCGAGCAGCATGGGCAGATCGAAGGATGAGGTAGCAGAAGCAGCATTCGCCAATGCTGTTCGACTCTTCTCCTACCCTGGCTCACGTCTTTCTTCTTTGAAGACGCCTAAAACTGAGTAGTTGCAGGCTGCGACTCGCAGCATTTCCGTTTTGAGGTGTCCCTGGCACAACTTACTTTGGTTAGTGTGTCTGCATGTATACACACTTGTAAATAGGGTGCCTAGTTTGTGGATGTGAAAGTCCTGTGGTTAGGGTGCGAGGTTCTTTTGATTTGGGTCAGGTGCTACTGTGGATAGATTGGATTAAAGGGCCTGTGGTTGCTGCTGTTCCCTTTTTAAGTGCTGTGATGCACAAGTGCTTGGGTGCGCAAGCAAGCCCTGTATTAGTGTCCCTGTAGTTAGCGTGCTGGGTGCGCAAGCCCTGTATTACCAGTAGTGTCCCTGTAGTTAGTGTGCCTGGGTGCTAAAGCCCTATATTGAGTGTCCCTGTCCTGTAGTTAGCATGAGGGTGCTCAAGTGTCCCTGTAGTTAGCATGGCATGCCTGGGTGCGCAAGCCCTGTACTTACTGTCCCTTAAGTTAGCATGCCTGGGTGCACAAGCCCTGTATTTCGTATCCTGTCCCTGTAGTTAGCCCTCTATTTGTGTCCATGTAGCTTAGTTAGCGTTCCTTGGTGCGTAAGCCCTGTATTTGGTGTCCCTGAAGTTACCGTGCTTGGGTGCACAACAGGGCCCTAGATATCAGACTTTAGAGTCTGAATCAGAGTCAGTTCAGACTTTTTTTTGGTACCTAGTCTGCACTCTAAGAATTTTTGGTGGGGCCTTGTCTGATGTTTCAGAGTTTTTTTAACATACTTGTCTGTAAATTCAGACTATTTTTAGTAGTGTAGGCTGTGCCTCAGACTTGTATCGGGGGTGCATTCTGAATCCGATAATACAGTGGCAGGGTCCAGCCTGGCGGCGTGGAGCAGTAACCCCGTCAATCACGGGCGGGAACCCACGATTTCGCCAGCGCGACAACGCACAGTTGCGTTGGTACAGCGTTGCTGTAATCCCACCCAATTCTGGCCAATCACGGCTGCGCCGCAGGCAGTGTTGGCAAGATTCCTTGCCAACACATAGCTCGCCACGCACTGCACCTTCGCTGTACACCACGACCATCCACCACACCCCGCCTTCAATGTTGCCAGCGCATAGCTCGCAGCGCGCTGCCACTCTCACGTCACCACGTCCATCCACCCCACCCCACCTTCCCAGTTGCCAACGCAGGGCTCGCACCGCGTTGCTTCTCTCACGTGACTCCATCCATCAACCCCAATCACCCCACCTTCCAAGGATTCACGCCCAGGTGCAGTGCATGCAATGACCTTCTGGGAGATGGGAGGTCCTATTACACGAGGGTTTCTCATCTTCTTCTTGGTCACCGTTCTTGCAGTCTCTCTCATGGCCCGCTCCATTTGCCTGGACTCAAACTAGTGTAGGAGCCCTTGTTTCAGGCTCCCACCTCCTAGCTCGCTACACCTCTGCTCGGCAGGCTCAATGGCAGTTACAGAGGCTGTCGCGGATGGGCCCGACGACGAGGATGATGCAGTCGGTCGCCCAGTATCCGGCCCAGTATCCGACCCTCTCACCGGTTTAGATTTTCTTAGGTCTGTCCTACCGAAGCACAATCCACCTCCAACGCCACCGTCGCAACCTAGCTCGAGCCGCCCACCTATTCCCAGAGACACCACACCTCTGCACGAGGCCGTCACTGAACCACCGACCGCTGCGCAACAGGCGGTGCCCCATGAGGCGTCTGTTGGTGCACCTTCTCGTCCCGCGCCACCGTCGAAGCTGCGGTACCGGCAGTCCACCCTTGGTTGGGCCACTCCGCCTCCTCCATCGACCGTTGTGACTCCTGCGGGCGACGATTCTCCCATGCAGGACAACTCCATGCCCACGCAGGGCAGCCCGAGGCGCACGCAGGACAGCTCAAAGCCCAAATCCGATAATCCTGAGTTGAAATACGAGGAAGCGCATGAGAGATTCAAATCGAAGTGGTCCACCGATTACAGTTGGCTTGTTCTAACTAAGACCTCTTCTGGTGCCCCTTCTTTCAAGTGCAATATTTGCCTGGAGTTTGCGGGATTGAAAGGCAAGTGTGGGCGGCGTACCGAGGGAGCTACAGACGTGCAGACACAGTCATTCAAGAAGCACGAAGGGACGGTGAAGCACCGATTTGCTCTGCAGCGCCAGGAGGATTTGCTGCAGAAGTACGGGCGGCAGCAGCGCATCGACATGCACCCGAAAGCGCAAGACATGGAGCTGCTGCAGGTGTCGTCGCTCGTCGACGCGCTGTACTTCATGGGGAAGTGCAACGAGCCCATGGACTCGTGGATCCGGCTCGTGCGCTACCTGGCAAAGAAGAAAGTGCCCGGGTTTCCCGAGCAGGGATACGGCACATACTATAACACGTACGTAAATTCTTATGTGTGTCCCGTGTGTACAACGTTGTATCCTTGCTGACCATCACTAACTACCTTGTCTTCCTTCTGTAGGTACGGCTTTGGAGAGCTCACTCAAGCCATTGCGACATGGCTTCAGACAACGCAACTGGAGCACCTCCTCTCGAGCCCTTTCATCGGGATAACGCTCGATGAGAGCACTGACCGTCGGCGCGGCAAGCACATGATTGTGTTTGCCACGTTTCTCCGCGAAGGCCGAGTTGTCACTGAGTTCGCCGCGCATTTAACGGTTGATTGGGCCGACGCTGCATCTTTGTGCAGTTTGTTGCTTTCCCACCTCAGGGCAGTCGGCGTTGACCTCCGGCGTATCTCGGGAGTGAGCACGGATGGCGCCTCTGTGATGGTGGGGAGTCAAAACGGTGTGGTTGCTCGTCTGCGAATGCTCATCCCCAACCTGGTCTCGTTTCACTGCATCGCTCACAGGTGCGTTTGTGTTTTAACGCCATGTGTAAACGGCAAATCTGTTTGTTTATGAAAAACTAACTGTGCATGTGTGGTTTTGTCTGGCAGGGAGGCCTTGGCTGCCAAGGCCGCAGCGGAGAAGATACCCACCTTCAACATGGTCGACGACGTGATCCGCGCGGTCGCAGAGTACCTCGGGCGATCGGGGCCGTGGCATCAGCGCTTCATGGAGCTCCAGGAGGTGTTCACGTCCACCATCCTCGAGGTCCAAGGCATACACGACGTGCGGTGGCTGTCCAGAGGAGCTGCAGTTGCCCGCTTCGTCCAAGTCCTACCTGCCATCATGGTCATGTTGTCGGAGTGGAAGGACCAGACCATGTACGAACTCGTCACGTCGTACAGGTTCCAATTCCTCATCAGGTTCCTCGCGGACATGCTGGAGCAGCTCAACATCCTCTCCTCAGTTTTTCAGAAGCGAGAAGTAAGTGAATTTGAGGGTGTAGATTGTATTGGTTTAAGTCCGAGACCCATTGTACTAATTCTCTTTGTATGTTTGTGATGCAGCTCGACTACGCGCTGGTGCACACGCAGATTGTGCGCACCACATCGATCCTGGAGGCTCGGTACGTCGACTGTGGAGACGACTTCGGGGGGGGGGGGGCGACCGAGAGGCTCTACCGCTTCATTGAGAAGCACGGTCCGGGAGGGACACCAGAAATGGTGGTGGAAGGAGCATCGTCCGACGGCCGTATGAACCGCTTCAAGGTGAAGCTTCAAGAACGCACAAACCCAAGCTATCGTGGGCCTGGTCATCACCACGCCTGCGTTGCGCTCTGCACCGACATGGCCGAGCTCGTTGTCGAGCAGCTCCAGTCCAAGCTTGGCGACCTTGACTCACTTTCCGGAGTGCGGCTGTTTATTCCAGAGATGTGGCAACCTCACTGGGACCGGGACGCACGGCATGCACAGTGCCTGGAGTGGCTGATGTCGCTTGTCACGTTGTTTCGCGCAGATGAAGCCGACGAGATACTACCTGGTATGGTTTTGTGTCACCCCGCCCCTTTCCCCCTTTGGCTATGGCTCGTTTACTAAACCCGTGTCTCGTTTTGCCTTGCAGGCATTGACAAGAAAAAAGCCGTGAGGGAGCTGCGCACACTGTGTCCGGTCCTTGCCAGAGCCCCCAAGAGCGAGCGCAAGTTCCACACGGGACTTTGTGCGATGCTCAGGACACCCGACTGGCAGCAGGCGTACCCCAACCTGGTCGGACTGTGGGTGGCGATTGCGGTGCTGCCTCTCAGCACGGTCGAGTGCGAGCGCGGTTTCTCCCGACAGAATCTCATCAAAACGTGGCAGAGGGGCAGCATTAAGGACTGTAGGCTGAGTGATCTGCTCTGTATTTCACTCCTAGACTATGAGCTAGATGTGCTAGGAGTAGTAGAGATATGGCGCAGCTACAAGAAGCGCCGGCCGGTCACATCACCTGCTGCAAGGCACAGAGAGGAGCCCTCATGGGCTGGGAAGGAGCCTGTAGACGAGGCAGTAGTAGAACGTGAACCTGTATTAGACTATCAAGAAGAAATGTAAGAAGGTTACTTAGTGTTTTCATTATAACAGGAAAATTGACTGACTCTGTATGTTCAGCGTAGAAATGCAAGTGTAGTCTGAAATCTCAGACTTAAAAAATCAGGTCACTCTGACAGCTAGACTAGGAAGAGCGGTGTACTCTGAGGCCTCAGACTACCTCAAAACGAATCTAGGGGCCTGGTGCACAAGCCCTGTATTTACTATACCTGCAGTTAGCGTGCCTGCGTGCAGAGTCTCTGTAGTTGGCGTGCCTGGGTGTGCAAGCCATATATTTTGTGTCCCTGTAGTTAGTGTTTCTGGGTGCAATAGAGTCCCTGTGGTTAGCTTGCTTTTGTGCACAAGCCCTGTTTTTCGAGTCTCTGTAGTTAGCATGCCTGGGTGCACAAGTCCTGTAGATAGTGATCCCTGTAGATAGTGATCCCTGTAGACAGTGATCCCTGTAGATAGTGATCCCTGTAGATAGTGATCCCTGTAGTTAGTGATCCCTGTAGTTAGTGAGCACTGTAGTTAGTGAGCACTGTAGTTAGTGAGCACTGTAGTTAGTGATCCCTGTAGTTAGTGATCCATGTAGTTAGTGAGCACTGTAGTTAGTGAGCACTGTAGTTAGTGATCCCTGTAGTTAGTGATCCCTGTAGTTAGTGATCCCTGTAGTTAGTGATCCCTGTAGTTAGTGATCCCTGTAGTTAGTGATAACTGTAGTTAGTGATCCCTGTAGTTAGTGATCCCTGTAGTTAGTGATCCCTGTAGTTAGTGATCCCTGCAGTTAGTGATCCCTGTAGTTAGTGATCCCTGCAGTTAGTGTGCCCCGAGGCACAA